TCTACTGATGGTCCATCAGGGACCAATATTGAAGATAACAAACCTCTGTGGGGTTATGTAACAAAAATAGGTAAAACGTCAGAAGGGGGTGGCAATATTGCATTTAAATGCAATTTTTTAATGCCACATACAAATGATCATATTATAGAGTAAAAGCTCATTTGTTGAAGATTAGTGGTCATGGAATTAAAGTATGTCCGAATATAAGCTTATCACAAATGGCTAAATTGCAAAGAAAAATCAGTGAAGCTGAGCAAATGAGTAAAAAAGAGCTTCCAAAACATATTCCACTTCCAAGCACTCATGCTTCATATCCTTCATCATCTTTTTCAATTAGAAATGATGACAGTACTGTTAATAAGGGGCCTTTTCGGATGGAGGGATTTGAACTAAAAAGAAGAAAACATGTTGTAGATAGTGCTTTGGAGAAAGCATTTAATTTACAAATGAGAGAACAAGTAGATGGGGAAATAGCTAGAATGTTTTACTCAGCTGAACTTTCTTTTAACCTAGCAAGGAATCCACATTACAAGAATGTCTTTATCTATGCATGCAATAATAATCTTACAGGATATGTGCCACCTGGATATAATGTCATTAGAACGAAGTTGTTGTAAAAAGAGAGGGATAATATTGAGAAGTTGATCAAGCCTACTAGAGGAGTTTGGAAGGAAAAAAGAGTTACTTTGGTTTGTGATAGGTGAACAGATCCACAAAGAATACCACTTATCAACTTCATGTCTGTAACAGAGAGCTATCCTATGTTTATCAAAGCTGTAAATTGTGAAGGACGGTACAAGGATAAGTTCTTCATTTCTAATTTAATCAAAGAAGTTATCATGATGGTGGGGCCTTCAAACATCATCCAGGTCATTACTGATGATGCACCTATTTGTAGAGTTGCAGGTCTACTTGTAGAGCAAGTCTATCCTCATATTTTCTGAACACTATGTGTTGTGCATACGCTTAATCTTGCCTTGAAGAACATTTGTGCAACTAAGAATACTGAGGCAAACGAAATCACCTACAATGAATGTCATTGGATAACAGTGATTGCTGGAGATGCAGTTGTAATTAGGAATTTTATTATGAATCACTTAATGAGACTCTCTATATTCAATGATTTCTCTAATTTGAAGATGCTTGCAGTTAGGGCTGCAAGCGAACCAAACGTTCGACGAGCTACTCGTTGTTCGATTCGATTAAAGCTCGTTTGTGATCGTTTAATTAACTAAACAAACAAACTTAATCAATATTTTAAATACTCGATTCTTAAATAAACAAACTTGAACACTAATGCGTTCGGCTCATTTATGTTCGCGAACAACATCATTTGAAGTTCGCGAACAAGCTCGATATTAAGCTTGATAAGAAGCTCGATAAAAGCTTGATTCGTGTTCGATTTTGAACTCGTGAATAAGCTCAATAAAAATAATTAATATTTGACTATAAAAAATAAAAATAATTAATATTTGATTATATAATTAATAAATATAAATAATCATTGCCTTTGCTACATAGACAATTACTTTTATTATAAATGTGTTTGTTCATATATATGTTCATGAATGTGTCGGTTTGATAGTTAGAAAAAATTCGTTAAATATGTTCGTGAACAAGCTCGATAAGCACTAAACATGAACTGAACATGAACACTCATTAATTTAAATGAACCAAGCATGAACACAAACAATAAAGCTCGAACAAGCATGAATCAAACTTGAACAAGCTGATATTAAATGAACACAAGCATGAATACTCACATACTCGGCTCGGCTCGGCTCGGTTCGTTTGCAGCCCTACTTGCAGTTGTTGAAACTCGGTTTGTCTCAATTATAGTGATGTTGAGAATATTCAAAAAAAATAAAAATTGATCTTCAAGCTATGGTGATCTGTGACAAATGGTCATGTTATAGGAAAGATAATGTTGAAAAGGATAGATATATAAATGAGAATCTTTTAGATGATTTATGGTGGGATGAGATTGAATACATCATAAATTTCACAGATCCAATTTATGAAATGTTGAGAGTAGCTGATACATATAAGTCTTGTTTATATCTCATTTATGAGATGTGGGATTCAATGTTTGTCAAAGTAAAAGAAATTATATATAGACATGAGAGGAAGGCACTTCATGAAGACTCAAGATTCTGGGATGTTATTTATGTTATTCTAGAAGATAGGTGGAGCAAAAGTAATACATCTTTACATTGCTTGGCTCACTCATTAAATCCCATGTAAATTTCAATATTTTCCATTATTAATTCACAATTTGTTATTTAGTAATTTCAACATTTTTTCATTATTTCATTTTAATATTTTTTAAAAATATTCAACTAAAGAATGACTTCAAGAGGATCATCAAAGAGTTTCTTCACATAAAGATTTAGAAATTTCAAATATGAGAAAGACATGTTAGAATCGTTATTTTCCAAATGAGGATGAGAGAAGAAGTGTCAATATTGAGCTTGCTAAATTTTTTGATTATTTAGTGGACTTTGGTGACCAAGTCATTGCGTGATAGGTGGAGAATTGATCCGAAAATGTGGTGGATTATACATGAAGCTTCAGCACCTCTATTTCAAACAATCGTCATAAAATTGCTTGGTCAAGTTTCATCTTCATCTTGTTGTGAAAGAAATTGGAGCACATACTCGTTCATCCAATCAATAAAGAGATAAAAGTACTCCACAAAGGGCTAAAGATTTAGTTTATGTGCATACAAACCTTCGGCTTCTCTCAAGGAAAACTCCAACTTATATGGAATGAGACAACAGGAAGTGGGATGTAGCTGGAGATGAATTTGAATCTCTTGAAGATATGGGAATATTAGAAATTGCTAATCTTTCACTTGATGAGCCTAAACTAGAAGCTATGATATTTATTGAAGATGATATAGAAACTCAAAGACAAACCACTGAAGAAGTTAATCCTATCATTATTTCTATTGAATAGTTGAAATTTCATGTACTGGACAATTTATCTTGTTTTGTTGTTGTACTAGACATTTAAATATTTAATGATTACTTTTATTTTAATTTTTTTGTCATTTCAAATATTACACTTTGATTATTTTCTTAATTTTTATGTATTATTTATATATTATAATGACATATACGCGCCATATCCGTATCCTGTATTTTTAAGAATTGGCGTGTCCCGTATTGATATCGTGTCGTATCCGTATCATCATATCCGTATCGGTGCAACCTAGGTTATATGTAAATCAGATCATTGATTAAAAAAAGGGCATCTAATAAATCAAATTTCTCCACATGAACTAAAATAAAGGCTAAAAGCCTAAAAGATAATCCCTCAGCCGGACGACACAATTTTTCAAAACGTCAAGCTAAGAGAGCTCAGATCGTATGTGATCATATATGAATAAAAATCATTAAGGAATAAAGGATATGTAGTGATACTTAGTATTGACAATTTGACATCACCTAGGATTTCTCTCTTTTTTTTCTTTTCTTTTTTTTTTCTTTTTTTTTTCTTTTTTTTTCCTTTTTTTTCTTTTTTTTTCTCCCATCATCTAGGATTTGTTAATCGTGCAAACACAATCTAGGGTTTTTATTTGAGAAGCTCAAATAATAAAAACTTTGTGGAAACTCATAATAGAGACTAAAAATCTTGTCAAGCAATCATCCTATCATCCCATTATCATGAAATGAAAAAAGTTGTTGGTTGTCGATATATGCCGGCAAAATTTGAAGCCTAAGGAGGAATACCTAACAACAAGAGGAGAAAAGGAGACTTGAATTTGTCGCCGGTCGTCGAAGCTTAATTTCTTGGGAAATTGAGCCGACAACAAGCACTCAAACACAAAGAATGTAGACGGGAACAAGGGCAAGGGCATGGAGCTAAATAGAGAAGAGGAAAGCCAAAAGTTGTAAGACGAAACACGCGCAGTCTTAACCCTAAGTCCTTAATATTAATGAAGAAATCGGGTTAAACTCGGGTCAATATCGGGTTGTCAGGTTGACTCGAACATGACCCGAAACTAAAATCGGGTCAGATATTCGAACTCTAACCCGACCCGTATGCTAACCGGGTCGACCCAAACCCGAAATTTTTAGGCCGGATCCGGTTCGGGTTTTCAGGTCTTGTCAAATATTGACATCCTTAGCGCCAACAAAAATAACTCTGCCCAGAATTTAAAATTAAAAAAATAATAATAATACTAGGAGTGTCTAATGTTGTACGTTCTGTTAGACCGGTCCACTGGACCGGTCCAGCCGGTCCAGGCGGGACCGGTTCACGGGCGAATATCGCGAAACAGGCGATTTGTTCGCCTGGGCGGAGGCCGCGCGCACCGCGTGCCTTGCGGGAGCCGAATAGGAAGCTTTTTTGGGGAAATTAAGAGGGGAATTTGAATGTAGGGATTGTTTAGGGATTTCCTTTTGTTTTGTATGCATTAAATAGTAGATTTTCCGAGGGTTTGATCATCTTGAATTTGGCTGAAATTTGAGATCTCTTAGATTTAGGTTTTCTTTGGGCTCTAGCGGCGTCTAGAGATTTGGGAGAGATCGATCCTCCTCTCGAATTGAGGATCAATTGTATATTTGCTGTTTTATTCATCTACTAGTGAAATACAAGAGTTTTTCTTCGTTTTTTCTCAGATTTATCGTGTAAAACTCCTGTTTTTCTCTGTTTTTGGGCTGTTTCCTGTTGTGGACAGCAATAAATTTGCTGCAATTTACTGATTTTGGCTAGGAACACTTGTGAATCCAAGTGTTTCCTATCACGTTCATTCTCCTCAATGGTCAGTTCAACAAATATGAGCTTATGTATTATGGAAATGTGTACATCGTATTTCCATAATGAACAAACATAAAAGCTATCTAAGTATCATATGAACACTTGGCAGAATGGTTTATCCAAAATCCTTAAATAATAATATCAAAAAACCAAAAGCCTCTGCCTGAACCTCACTAAAACCAGGAAAAAGAGAATCCAAATAGATTGGGCAATTACATGATGTCTCTAGTACTTACCATCAGAAACATGAAGTTCGGCCCCAAAGATGACACGTCCATAAACCTCAATCTCCAACATCTACAAAATACCAAGAAAATAGAGCATTTTTCAGATACAGTAAGTATAGCCAAAGAATCAAGACTATGATGATGAGACCATGGAAAGAGAACTTCCAGGTCCAAACAGCATTTCCTAATTGAAATTACAAATGTATTAAAAAAAAGGTACCTCGGCTTCAGGAGACATTGCCGTTTCATCTTGAGCGTAGTCCACAATAACCAGCGCGCTTCTTCTGGCTATATGACCATCGGGATATTCCAGCACAGCAGACGGAGGGACTGGAGCAGCGGGAGGAGAAGGAGACGTCAGGCTTAATGGAGAAGAAAGCTGCGACCGAGACGCTGGCGGCTGTGGCGTGGGAGTTTGATGCGGAAATGGACTCCTTAGGGTTTTGATCTCGGCACCTTCAAGAGCTTGAAGCAGAGAGGGAGAGTTGAAGGGTTGAGGGGATTTGTCTGGAACGTGCTGCGGTGGTTGGTTGCTCTTGTTCTGGTTGTCCTTCAGATTCTCGTCGCTATCTTCGACGTCGTCGTTTTCCACCGGGGCACTGGCGGCAGTTTTTTCCTCCTCCGCAGCGACAGCAGCTTCTTCCTCCTCCTCATCGTCTCCATACATCGATAGAAGGGCTATGCCTTCAGTTTCCGCTGCCATGGCCGACGCTCGCCGGAGAACAGCAGGTTTGATCCAATTTTCCCCGCGAAGTTGCAAAACTCTCATAGGCGCGCCACGGGCTTCTACGAGGGATGTTTACCTACGAGCAAAGACTTTACAGAAAGTTTGTACGATGGATCGCCGTTCATTAAATCATAAACACGAATCTTCATATAAGATGGATTCCGCTGCCTGTTTATGGATCGCAACTGTGGAAACCGATTGAGCATTATCGGTTTCGATCTTGCAAACAAGATATTTGATATTTAGAGTGTTATTTATTGGGATAATTCAGTAAATTTTTATATTCGATTATTACTTATTAGTCTCCCCAATATTTATTATTTCGTAAATATGTATATTTTATGCATAATATTTTTGAATATATTATACAGATACGGTGCTATAAAATTTATGGCATTAAAGATTAGGTTTACATCTAAGTTTATAATAGTTTTCATGTATAATCAAGATACAGAGATTTGCATAAAAAAGATATAGGTTTTTTACATTTAAAAATTAAAAAAAAACAGTAGGTCTAACCCACTTGAAGACATTTAGAGCAATGAGTAATTGATTACAATGATTTGCCCTAATGAGTAAGGAGGATAGGATCACAATGTAATAGTTTAGACTTTGCAGGGTTATTTCTACTAATGATGGTTACGAGCATCATCTTTGATTGGCAAAACTTAGTGGACGTCAAGTGATAAGTAGCAATGGGTGTGAAGCATTGGTGTTGGTCGACATCAGGTATTGGCTGGCAAGTAATGCTAGACATCGAGAGTTAGTGTTGTGTCAAAATGACAATCAGACAAATGATGATAATCTCATAATCATCATTAAGCGCAAGAATATTCTCAATGTGATGTTATCTTGCCAATAGAGAATATTTGGTGACCTAGAATGTGAGAACAAAAAAAAAATTAAATTTCTATTTAAACTAAAGCACAGCGGTGCTAAAATTTTCCATTGCTCTAGGCCACTAACAACATTTTTAAATATATTAAATTATAAAATTCTTTAGCACCCAACCCATTTCGCCCCTCACCGTTGTGACTTGCTCGGGAAGGAAGAGGGGAGAAAGATAGGAAGGAAAAGAAAGGGAGGAGAGATAAGATTGTTCGAGGCTTTTTAGTTTGTTGATTTTATTCAAAGATTTATCATAATCGTTGTAAGTAATTCAAATCTCATTTTAGTTTTTAATAATTTTGAGTTTGGCGGATTTCTTCTTTCCTAAATCGATACAAATACATTTCTTCTGATTCATTGAGTTCTTACTGTGTAACCTTTCGTATATGATAGATGTGTATTGTACAGACATTTTGATTGTAATATTATTGCATTTTATAGGGTAAATTAGGAGTTATAATTTTGTAAGCTCTAGATTAATATGTGATTTTTGTGCATTTTTATAAATATTTCATTTCATGGTGTATTTCATATAAATGGATGTGACAATTACAATAAAAGCAAAGCGGGCAGGCTGTTAACAGTATAATTAATATCGGTTGGCTCTTAAAACGTTAATACCCTGCACATGAGAGTGGTCTGATGAACTTTCTTTTAAAGATGGATTGCAGTGTTATACCAGTTGTAGTATGTAATTGATGACTGGTTATACCGACAGACAAAGTGTGACGACTCTTTACTGATTTAATGAAGCTGTATATAATGATAATTGATTAATTGAATGAGCGATAATTGATATAATTGATGATCAATTGGGAAGTAGTTGTGGCAGTGGCGGAGCCAGAAACTTTTCATAGAGGCCTTTTTTTTAATCTCCTCAACATTTTTCATTCGGGCAAATGAACTATGGGTGGTATTTATATAATATTAAAGTTTTAGGTGTTAAATATGTAAATAGAATAGTATTAAGTGGTATGTATGTAAATCTCCCTTGATATAATTGATGATCAATTGGGAAGTAGTTGTGGCAGTGGAGGAGCCAGAAACTTTTCATAGAGGCCTTTTTTTTAATCTCCTCAACATTTTTCATTCGGGATTGGGATCGATATTAGAAGTTTTTATAAAATTTGTTTAAAAAATAAAGTATTAAATATAAGATGAAATACATTTACAATTTATATCGCTTACTCTTCATATTTTGAAAAAAAATGAATAATAACATCATTGTCAATAAAATCTAAAATTTCTTTTTAAATATAAGTGATTAAAGTATCGTTCATCCACTGATATTCAATTTGATTGCGTAATCGATTTTTTATGACATTCATTATAGGAAATGCTCTTTCAACTGCTACTATTATAATTAGTTGTACTAATGACAGATTTAATAACCTAAAAATAAGGGGATATAGTATTTCCTTTATATTATGAACTATTTTTTCAACAAGACTTGTTATATCTTTTAACAATGAAAATTGAACATCAAACCACATATCCATAATATAAGTTTTCAGCTGATTATAAAAAATCCTCAAATCGGAAGGAATGAAATCACTTGGATATAAGTCTGTCATTTCAATTAACTTCTCTTTGTTGAATGCATAGAACAAATTTGATGAATTCAAATAAGTAATACATAAAAGTAGTCCAATATTAACCTCAATGAAATGATTATTCAACTCTTGAAGTTGCATATCAAGTAATGTGTAGAATACATCAACTTGGTAATGATGTAAATTTGTCATTTCTTGAAGTCCACGTCAAAGTTTTCCACAAACAATCTATTTATCACCTAAATTTGGAGTGATAATTTTTTGTTCAACACAAAAAAGTCATATTTTTAATGAATTCATCACATTTTTTATCTCTCATGTCTTGTAATCTAATTTTTTTAAAAAATATGGCATTCACAATGTCCTGATCTTTTCTTTGCAAAGCTTCTGATAGTTTAACAATGATTCAAAAAATGTCTTTTATTAAATGCAAACTAAAAAAGAAGTCAAAGGATTGCATTGAATCTAATAATGCGTAAGCCTCTCCTCTATGTTCTGAGCTAACGCCATCTTTCAAAATTATTTTAAGCACATTAATAACTGAGGAGAATATTGTGATCAATCTAATCAATGACTCATAATGAGAACCCCGTCTTGTTTCACCAGCACGACTTAAAAATATTTTTTGATTTAATCTTCGTCCAACGAATACCTCACCATTTTGTAGTGCATTTAATGTCATCTCACATTGTTTATCTCTTATTTGATCATGATTTTGCATGAAACACCAATAATATTCATCATATTTGAAATGATAGTAAACAACAATGCAATCTAAACATGATTTTTTTTTTTTGCAACTATAACAAATGCTAACTTAAGTAGGTGTGAGAAATAGTGAATATAATCTAGCTGAAGTTTCAGGAACATATATAATATCAAAAAAATGTTCAATAATTTGGCCTTTTTGACATATCGTATAATGACATCCATTTGTTTTTTCATAGAAATATCACGAGTTTCATCATAATAGAAAAGCAACTATCACCAACTTCTTATTTTATATGGTTGGTAATTGCAATGAAAATAGCTCTATAAATATCTTTTTGAATCTCAAGGGTAATTAATTTCAAATTTTTAAGAGCATTCTTTAGTATGACATTACTTATATATTCATTATATTTAGCTAAAAATTGAAGCAGCTCAAGATAATTTTCTTGATTTTTGGAATTAAAACTCTTGATCTTTATGTCCCCAAAAAACTAAATCTTATCTTAGTAGGAATTTCACACAATCAATAAAAGAATTTAAGCAGACACGGTATGCATTTGTAGCTCGATCAGACTGCACATGAAAGATAAAGTTAATATGTTGATCTTGTTTCATTAAATCTGCATAATTTTGTCTTGTATTATTATGAACACTATTAGGTCATCTTACATGAAGATAAAATTTATCAGGATTTTTTTTCAATTCGAGAATCCATTTCTGCGAAATATCTCGTCATCTTCTTTTTCTCTTCCTTCAACTCAAAAAAGATAACAATACAAACAATATACTTTATTTTTCTGAATAATATACTATAATCAGCTGAAGTATCTACCAAACCACCATGGATTACTTACTTTTAAGGAAGTCAAGATTGTGATCGAGGTTGACATGGTCCTTTTTGCAAATATGATATTCAAATTTGATCACAATTGTTAAAACTAAATTCAAAAATATTTATACATTTCATGATCTTATTGAAGATTATCTAGATCCGTATCGTGTTTTTTGATGATTCACCTATTGCTAGATTTCTTTTAATTTTTTTGTTCATCATTATTATTTTTTGAATCCCCTATTAGTGTTGATTGTGAGGATTTCTTAAAATACTTCTTCATAATCTTTATACAAATTCAAACAACCTAAAATAAATAAAACTTATATAATATAAACTATAAAACAACAAAATTTATAAAGTAAAAAATATGCAAATAAAGCTACAAACTCAACAAAAGTTATAAACAAATGTTATAAACATAACTTATATTAACTCAGCAAACTTATAAATTAAAAAACAATAGAACAAAACTAAAATAAAATATGCAAACAAAAGAGTTTTGAATGTAAACAGCATAGTCAGCAATGTGTAGAAATCGATTTGAGAAAACATGTTTGCAAATTGCAATCAAGAATACATTGCTTCTGATTTTCATCACTTTCCCCAAATCTGAAATTTGTAGAATACAAAAATATATATAATGCAAACTCAAGAAGAAGGGTGACGTGACAACTATGCGAAACAGAAGAAGGGCGAAGCAAAACACGCGAAGCAGAAGAAGGGCAATGCGAGGACTAATGAGGGATGGACGGTGGGTGGAACAATTGGAGGAGGCAAGGGCAGGCCGCAGGGGCAACGCTACGTGAAGACTCCGTTTTAGAAAGCAATAAAAAAGTCATCTCAAACGAAGCCTAAGATTTCATGTGCGGCTCGACTCACGAGAGGCAAAAGCTTCGGTGAAGCCGAAGAATATTAGGGCAATGAAGAAAACGAACATGATTAAATCATGAATTTTTTTGTCGGGGGGAAAGGCACGTGCCACCGCGGGCCCTTCCCCTTATATCTGCCGTTGAGTTTGGATAAAAGATGATGAAAATGTCACAATAAAATTGGATATCTTGTCGTGCTAAATTATATACTGATGCATGCATACATTGATAACACTGATTTCATTAACATATATATTAATAACATTGATAATAGTTGATGCATAAATAGTATATGAACAGATGGTGCATATAAATAGATAAGATAGATATAATTAATAATATTAAATTTTGTAGGTCATAATTTCTTTACTGATTTATTGTTTTATGATTTATTAATTATTATACATTTTATTGTTTGCTAGATTAAGTGTAATGATACTCTTCCTTTATTATTAATTATTTTGAGTTTTATTGATTATATTTGATTATTATTTATTATTGATTATATTGACTGGACTAAACATGTTATATATATTCTTTAGTCCTTGTTTAAAGCTTTAGTGAGCTTTTTGTCCACTATGTGGATTTTAATGATTTCAGGTTGGGGAAGAATCATATTAATTTCATGGCTATTGTATATTGACTTTGGAAGAGTGAATATAGTGAAATAGTTTGATATATATGATTATTAGATGCTTTCATTAGATATTTATCAATTTATATTAATAATTTATAGAAACTCTGGTAAATGATTAAAACGATAAATAGATAATTATTCTAAATTTGATATTGGGCATGATAAAGAAAATGAAATTGAGAATGTTTTCTATGTAACAAACTAACAACAAAGATGGTCAATTAGAGGTTCCAAATGAAGGGTAAGAGATTTTGTGATATCTTACAATCCAAGACTTACTTGTTCGAAATAACATGATTAAAGCTTCATTTTGAACGTTTTTTTTTAACTAAAATATTATATATATATATATTGCTCTTCCTCATGTGGGTGAAGGATCATGTCATTTTTATTTTATTATGCTATTTCAAATTAGGTGAAGTAAATATTAAAATCAAACTTATTTGTCCTACCCGCAACTAGTGCAAGGATGAATTTATTCATATAATCACTCGTGTTAGCAGCATTTAGTGTCACGTACGCTTCATATCAAACCAAGAATAATTATAATTGTTTAATCACTTAAATAGTCAACTAGAGCTTCTATGAATTAATCAATAAATCACTCCAACTGAATTTCCTAAAATCATAGACATTATAATATTACACTATCAAAATTATATACAATAGTTAGGAATAGGATATCAGTATAGTCACTAATCTATCAATAGCTCTTGACTATAAAAGAATAAAAATACATAAAATATAAAAAGGAAATTTTGAGGATCTATGATAACCTCACTTCACATGGTTCTGATCCCCTCTTTTACATGAAATTATTAAAATTCAAATGATGAGCTAAAAAGCATGAGTTGGGAATTTGTCGAGAGAAGGAGCTGCGTCCATGGGAGGAACGGGTGGTGTTAGATTGCGAGAATCACCCACGAGTTGAACCAGTGCAACTGGAAAATAAGGCTATGGCGTTTGAATGTTGTATGGCGTCTTTGAGATGTTCATTGTGGAGGTTTATTTTCTTGTTGCATAGGAGGGAGTAGAGAACGTCTATACTAATTGGGTTAAGAGAGGTTCATATGGCCATTTTGAACCGATTGTAGGCAGAGGGAAGACCTTTTAAGATGTATAATATGATGTCTTCGGTATCAATGTGTGAGCCTATAGCGGCTATATTGTCGACCATAATTTTGAAACGTGCTAGGTATTATTGCATTGAGCAATCTCTCATCTGGATTTGATAAAAAAATCTCATTTTTTGAGCTGAATGACACAAGACCCATTTGTAGGTTATAATCTCTGCTCAAGGGTTATCCAAATTTTGTGAGCTGTGGAGAGGGCGATGACATAGGGAAGAACTGAGGGGATATGGTGGAGAATAAATCAGAGATTAAATTGCAATCAATTAATCACCATAGATTGTAAGCTTCAGTAGAGGTATCAGATGGGCATGGATTAGTTCGAGTAAGATGGCCTTCGAAGCCATTGGTGGACAAATGCTGGTGGAGTTAGAGACGCCATATAACATAGTTGTAATTGGTTAGTTGCGTGGGAACTAGGCTTTTGAGGTTGGAGATGAGAAAGTTAAGTGGGGCTAGTACATTGAACTCAGCTAAGGAAGCAGACAGGTTGGAGTTGGGTGGGAGGGTAGCAACTGAATCTTGATTGCCCCATTAGATGAATAGCTTGATGCTTTTATACCATAAAAGATCTTGTTAGCTTAAGGAATAAACAAAGAAAGGCACAAAGACAATAAAGAAAAGAAGGAAGAAGAATGTAGTTTGTGAGAATTTCATTTGTATTAAAAATATTGTACATCATTTGTACATGAATGAGTGTAAATATAAAGTTGAGTGAGGACAATTTGTTATAAAATTGAGTACATGCGTTGTGTACTTAGTTTGTTACGGTGTGGATGATGGCGTTACCCTTGTGACAGGAAGAATGGTCCTCTCCATGTGCTGACTAGGCAAGTGGTGTGCTGACAGGCATTATATTTTTTAGACTTCATTTGGAACGACTTTCTTATTGCTTGCAAAAATAAATTTTAATATAAAATTTAAAATTTTTATATTAAAAATTATTTTAAAAAATAATAAAAAATCATATCAAACAAAATCACAATGCCACAATGAATGAGAAGCCGATCACTGTGATAAACAGCTACGACAGCTTTATTTATAATCTTTGCTTCCATCAATTTTTTTTTAAAATAGACAAAAATTATTTTATATAAAAATATTTTATCAGCTGCAATTTTTTTATCAAACCAAGCCGCCCAACATAATTTATATTTACAAAAAATAAGAGCAGCACGCGGACCGCTCAGCCGCCTCCGTCCACAGCCTCTCGGATCTTCGGGCCCAGCTGACTGCGTGATTCGGGCCCACATATGAGAAGCTTAAAATTTGGCCACGTGTCAATATTCTCGTTTATTCTCCAGATTTTCTGCAATTAATTCCAATTATTCAGAGGAGGAGAAGTCCAACAGGTCAGCGACTGTAGTTTGGCCGTTATCGTTACGAACACAATTCCGTTTAGACCGTTTCACTTTGCCGTTTCTGGCCGCTCTAGTTTGACGGCGAAGCGTTTGCAAGTCAGAACCTATAAGAAACTATTAGCAATAAAATTAAAAAAGATTTTTTGTTCATTTTTTATGGGATGATTTGATTCATTTTAGATTAAAAATTTAACTATCAAATACAATACACTTGAGCAAGCTATATGCGAGTTACTTTGAGCTCAATCCATGCTCGTGTATTTGAATATAGCCCAAATTTTTTAATTTTTTTAGACTTTTGTGTCAATTAAGATAAATTCGCATACACATTAAATATTTAAATTTCAAATTAAATACCTCTGGATTGATAGTCAAAATTCTCAACAAATAACTTAAAGTGAGCCGCGCCCCAGATTTTTTCATTAATTTACTCTAACTCTAATTTGACGGACATAATGAGATTTAGGTTTTGTTTAGGACAACTTTCTCGCTGCTGCTTAAAGTAGCTTTCTAGTGCAAAAAATTTATTAAAAAACTGTTTTAAGAAGCATTAAAAAAACCATTCCAAACGAAGCCTTGATAAAAAAAATTTAAATATGTAATTATTTTTAATTAGACTTAGGATCATCTGATCACTAACAAAAGTTCTAAAATATTTTGATTATGTGCTAGATTGTATTTAAAATATATATAAACTTTAAATGTTTTAAATCAATCAACTACTTAAAGATTTATTTATTTTTTGCAAAAAGATTATTTTTTTATTTTTTGGAAAATTTGGGCATAGCCCATATATTAATCAAGAAAATTACATGTAAAGAAACTAAAGCCTAAAAAAAAGAGAGGCTAGCTCGAAGAAATCCCAAAAAATAAAACTAAATCCTGAAAAAGGACAATAAAGAATACATAAAATATTCCAAAACATAAAGACACCCAAAACCGAGCACGAACTAGAGCAACCGTAATGCATGGACTCAAAAAATTAAAGAATATAAGTAGTTGTATCGAGTTCCCCTGGTTGCCCAAGGGCCGTCCTAGGGGGGCTGCAAGTTGGTACATCATTGTCCAAGACATAATTCGCAGGAAATGCAAACCGAAAACCATCATAAGGGACCATACTGATCAATGCAGAAGTCATACTTATATCAAATCCAACAGAAAAAAGATAAATATTAAAAAAAAGATTTATTTGTCATGTAAATTAAAAATAACTCTCGTTTTCTTCATAAATATTAATACACAAGATATTGAATAAGATGATTTTTATAAAAATATATATATATATATATATATACCTTAACTCATGGTGACCTTTTTTTGAAAAAAAAAATCAATATTTTTCTTATTTAAAAACTAATATTTTGTAGGAGATTAAAGAACAAATAATTTTTAATTTGATTAATTAAGCAAACAGTCCATTAAAGTTTTAAAATGTTGTCTCTAACAACTAAGAAGATTTATTTAAATTATAATTAAGTTTTAAGGCAATGTTAGATATTTATTATAAAAATATTTAATAAAATGAACATTAGAAAAGAAGATGCTCTTTAATTTGAATCAAAAAGTAAAAATTCGTTAAATTCACCACTAAGTTACATAACGGAACCCTTGACGGCGTTCACGAGGCTCCCGTGCATTTCTAACCATCAAAGTTCAAAGCTGGCAAGGGAGCGATAACGGTTCCGTCATGTTCGGCCCTTCTCCAATTCGCCCATTCCAACCTCCCGTGTCGCCTCTATTTTCACCTCTGGAGACGGCCACTATACCCTCCCCTCCCTTCTATAAACGTAGGAGAACAAAGTTTTGCTCTTTCGAGGAGCTATGGCTCCCATGGCGGTGGAGCCGTCGCTGAAGCCTAAGAAGGAGAGGCAGAGCGCTGTCATCCTTGGCCGTTACGAACTGGGGAAACTCCTTGGCCAAGGCACGTTCGCCAAGGTTTTCTACGCGAAAAACTTGAAGACCGACGAATCTGTCGCCATTAAGGTCCTTGACAAGGAGCGCATCTTAAAGAGCGGCCTTGCCGCTCACATCAAGCGCGAGATCGGAATCCTCCGCCGTGTTCGCCACCCCAACATTGTCCATCTCTTCGAGGTCATGGCCACCAAGACCAAGATTTACTTTGTGATGGAGTACGTCCGCGGAGGGGAGCTCTTCAGCAAAGTCGCTAAAGGCCGGCTAAAGGAGGACGCGGCCCGCCAATACTTTCAGCAATTGATATCGGCCGTTTGTTTCTGCCACGCCCGCGGCGTTTTCCATCGGGATCTCAAGCCGGAGAACCTACTACTTGACGAAAAGGGGGATCTCAAAGTCTCTGATTTTGGGCTCAGCGCGGTCTCCGATCAGATTCGGCAGGATGGGCTCTTCCACACCTTTTGCGGTACTCCGGCGTACGTCGCGCCGGAGGTGCTCTCCAGGAAAGGGTACGACGCGGCTAGGGTTGATATCTGGTCCTCTGGGATCATTCTATTCGTGCTTATGGCTGGCTATCTCCCTTTCCACGATCAGAACGTCTTGGCGATGTACCGCAAAATCTATAAAGGGGCATTTCGATGCCCTAGCTGGTTCTCCCCCGATCTCAGCAAGCTTCTCTTTCGCCTTCTGGACACGAATCCCCAGACGCGGATCACCATTCCTGAAATCATGGAGAATCTGTGGTTCAAAAAAGGGTTTCGCCATATTCGATTCTACATCGAGAATGACAAGCTCCACAGCATCGATGAAATCGATGAGTCGCCTCCTACAAATGCCCCGGAGACTCCGTCATCAGAGAAGCATGATGAGACGTCGGATTCTGGCTGCGATTCCGATTGCTCCGCGGCCTCCTGCCCTGCCACAATGTACATCTCTAAGGGGCTGATAATGGGGCTTCCCAGACCAGCCAGCCTGAATGCTTTCGACATCATATCATTCTCGCAAGGTTTTAATCTTTCTGGATTGTTTGAAGAGAGGGGGGAGGAGGCAAGGTTTGTATCTGGTGAGCCCGTGCCTATGATTATATCAAAATTGGAGGACATTGCAAAGTTGGTGAGCTTCACAGTGAGGAAGAAAGACTTCCAGGTGAGCTTGGAAGGGACTAGGGAGGGAGAGAAGGGGCCATTGACAATAGCCGCAGAGATATTTGAGTTGACTTCTTCACTTGTGATGGTGGAGGTGAAGAAGAAAGCAGGTGACAGAGGAGAGTATGAGGAGTTCTATAACAGGGAATTAAAACCGGGATTGCAGAGCCTAATGTATGTATCTGATCCCCCAAACAATATCGCCACTACTCCTGACTACAAGTGACACATTTCATTATTTCCCTATTGTTTGCACGATTTTCCATAATATTGCTGATTTATGCTTTATAACATCTTGGTTTCTTTTGCCACATTTTTGACAATGTAATATTTTATGTTGTTATTTATTTTTTCTTCTAATGATTCTTAGTAATGGAAATATAAGTTATGTATTGTGATTCAATTCATTCTTACTTTAGATTGACAAGTATAGTTTGTGTTACTTGGTAGGATGCTTTTTGAATTGATTTTGCCTAATTCTTAAAATTTGATGATCATGGTAATTATATTTGAATTTACTGTTTTCTTACAACAATGCTCAGTATTTTAAATTTACCTTTATATTAATGTAAGCAAAATGATCATTATGGATTATTCTCTTTTTTTTTTTTGGATCCTAATTCTAGTATTGCTTGACCAAAATGAACTTCTAAGATCTTCATGCTTCTATTAATGTGATAAAAGGTTACCCCTTATGTTGTGAAGTGAGAACCATAGGTGAATTAAAGTTGATTTGGAAATGTTAGGCCTTCTCCAGTCGAACGTCAAACATGTGTATGACGTCGTTTGGTCGCTCCAGCTGAACGTCAAACTTTCCGCTATTTGCTTGCGGGTGAACAGTGCGATGTCAATATTGGCGTCGCATTGTTCACCCGCATATGTTTTTTCTTTTAATATAAATATATGATTAAAAACATATAAAATAAAGTATGTGAAATAATATACTAGGATTTTTTTTTTGTTAGAAAATGGAGTTCAATTGGAGATGAGTTTCTGCATTTTGATGTATTACTGTATTTTGGAGTGAAAATTGAGTTTTTCGATTGGAGATGTCCTTAGTGGTCAAATCCATTTTCAACATAAAAACATAAGTTTATTGTTAAGGAGGTATCTAGTCTGTGGGGACATATGAATTGCAACTTTTGGTGTTCTATTAGTAGGGTGATAATCTTATGTTGTAACTCAAATAAAGTTAAATTAAATGAAATTATGAACTTATTAAATTTCAACATATGATTAATATCTTCTCCATCTATCTAAACAAAAATCGGATAAAAAGATTATTTGCATTTTAATCTCATGAAAGTTAATTTCTATCAAATTAATTCTTCTCCTGCAAGCATGCAAAAAATTGAAGCCTTAACTTTTGACTTACTTTGTCAACGTCATCTATGTTTCTGGCTCTTGGATTGCTACACTAAGGACTCCCTCACCACTTGTTATCTTCGTCATTGACTTTCAGCGCTTAGTTTTTTTTTACTCTATCATTTTCACTGCATATTGCCTTGTCAATGCTGCTCTTCATCATCGAAGAAGCCAACTCATCATAGAAACCACGCATCTCTAACTCTCCATCATGAGAGGTCTCTTTGTGTCAATCAGTTTTTTTAATTAAACTATGAATTTTAGATTTTAAGACTGTCATTATCAGTTCCCAATTCTTAGATGTGAAAAGTGGAGGGTTACATTAGGTAGTCGATAGCCAATGTAAAACTTATCGAATAATCATGACATAAATAATTTAATAAATTGTGTTCATGCTAGGGCGTCCCCTGAAAGCGACATGCTGTATGGCCTAAATACAGTGACAAGTGCGTAAAGGCCACTGCAACGACGCTCAAGTGCTTTGTTATAGGCAAGAGTTCTCACATCATAGACGGATGTGGGCAAAGAACCTAGTCCATGAAATTAAAATTAAGATAAAAACTTGGAATATATGTTCCCTTACAGACAAATTAATTGAATTAATATAAATTATGATTCATAAGAAGATAATATATTAAGAATGTTGAAAAAATTACATTTTGTTTGTGCAAGAGGAAGTCAATGCTATGTGAAAAAAAGTAGTTAGTGATATTAAGAATGCTGAAAAAAAATATGCTTTGAGTATCAAACGAAAAAACTCGTAATAGTAAAAATAATTGATGGTGAAATTAAAATATACAAGAAAAGATAAAAAAAGATTTATTATAAAAATTTATTTAGATGTAAAATTTCTGATAATTGAGAAAGATATAAAGAGGTCTGTAAGGAGTCTAAGAAAACAATATGAGCGGCAAAGATTTTAGCTTTTAATGATTTATATAATATATTATATATTAAGGAGAACGAACGAAAATTATATGTAGAAGTTAGCCAAAAAATATATAGTAGCAAGGGTTTAGTTCGAGTAAAGTGTATTAAGGATGAAGATTAAACAATACTTTTATTAGAATAGGGTATTCAATAAAGGTGTGTGAAATATTTTGTTAAACTTTTCAATGAAGATTGTGAGAATACGATTGACTTTAGTGACCTTAACACTCTAAATGAAAATAAATATTATTGTTTTTATCGACATATTAGTAAAATCCTATGATGCATGGACACGGACACGGCGACACGGACACGACACGACACGGACACGGGACACGGTTTTTTTAAATATAGGACACGGGTACGGTGCGGACACGGCAATACATTTTTTTATATAGTGTATATATATTAATGTAATATCATATTAGAAATGACAAACAATAATAAATGAATGACATGATAACTTGTCTAGTTTATAATATAAAATATTTAGTATAAAATATCTAATACAACCACAAAAATATAAGCAAATAATCACTTACTACAACAACAAGCATTCAAGCTTCAAGTGCTAGGATTAGCTTTAGAGGTTTGTTTTTGGCATTCAATATCATCATCATTGAATATCACTGCTTTCAACTCTGATTCAACAAGAGAAAGATTTGTAATTGTACAAAAAATAGAGGAGATGAAAATACCTTCACTGTCAAATAAATGAAAATGAAAATATTCGATGAATAGGTATTAAATGCAGACGTTGATTTGGTGTTGTGGATAGGAAATAAGAAATTTAATTTAAATCTCGCCAAACATAATAAATTATATTTTTTAAAAACATTATAAAATATTTAAGATACGCGTGTCGGACACGCGTGTCCAATTAGTTTTTAATATTTTTTTAATCGGACACGTTTTCGGCGTGTCCGACACGTGTCGGAGGAGTGTCGGACGAGTGTCGTGTCGAATACGGTGTCGAACACTGCACGCCTCTTTGAGGAGAAGTGTCGGTGCATCATAGGTAAAATCTAAGTTAGAGAGGCTTTAAAGAAAATGAAGTAAGAAAAAGCTGTTGGACCGGGTGATATTCTAATAGAGGTGTGAAAATACTTAGGAGATGAATAAATCTTTTAGCTTACTAAACTTTTTAATATTATTTTGAAGACTAAAAAGATGTCAGATGAGTCAAGAATGAGTGTATTGATTTCTATTTTTAAGAATAAAGGTGATCCATAAGATTGTGCGGATTATAAAGGAATTATGTTAATGTGTCATAATTTAAAATTGTGGGAGAGAGTTATGGAGCATATGTTGCGGTGTGATACTAAGGGGCTGTTTGACAACAAAGTGAGATTTTTAACTTTATGGGATTTAGTAAATCCTTTAAACCCGGATTTAGTAAATCCGAAATGTGTTAAATCCTGATAACCTGTTTGGCTATGCAAATGTTAAATCCGTTAAATCCTAAGAAAACTGTTGGTAACATATTTCCAGGATTTAATAGCATTATGGATTTAAATGTGAAAAATATAATTGATAACTTAAAAATAAATTATACGATTAAAAATAAAAATTATAATGTGTTATAAATTTAAATAATATGTTTAGTACAAATTACTTATTATTATTATTTACACAATTTAATTATATTATGTTAATAATAGATATATTAAATTATTAATTAATCTAATATATTAATATTTAATTACTACTTATACAATTAAAGTTAAATTAGATAATTAATTTAGCACTAATTATACAATTTAACTATTAAATAATTTACTTATTATTAATAATTTAAATTATTTAATTAAGTTAAATCAATAATACTTTTAGAGGCATTCTATGGTTTCCTTTCATCTTCTCTTTTCGTCGTGCTCTTCGACTTCGTGCGCTAGTTGCAGATTGTAAGATTGCAACCACGTCGCTCCCTGCGACCTCCTCGTGGTTGTTTCCGAGTTTGCCTCCTGCGTACGACTTTCTAGTCATTAATTAATAAAAAGTATACATGTTAAATACAAATTATCGTTAATTACTTATTTACAGCTATTGATTATATATTTTAATAATATATATTTAGTTATTTAATTAAGATAATTGTATTAATATTAATTATTAATTATGCATTAAGTTAAATTATTTAATTATTAATAATTTAATTAAATTTATTTAATTATTAATAATTTAATTTTTTATTTAATTATTAATATTTTAATTTATTATTAATTATGCATAATTGTACATAACTATTAATTAATTTACTTAAGTATTAATAATGTAATCTATAATAAATTAAGATACATCAATAAATAACTAGAGGCGTCCCGGGTTTTGCCTTCACTCCTCTTCCGTCGTTTGTTTTCGGTCCGTTGCTTTTGCAGTGTAGGATTGCAAGGCGCGCTTCTTTGGCTCCTTCGTGGCTGTTCGATCTTCGCTCCTTGCGACGACTTCAACCCGGATCGGAAGCTACGACATTGTTGATCGCAAGCAAGAACGTGGAGCTCGCTGGCTTTGTGAAGGTAACTTTCTCCTTTCGCGCGCTCTTTCGGATAAATCCGCTCGATTTACTAAATCCGCCTACCCTCGTATTTAACTAAGGAGTCTCCGATTTAAGCCTTAATCCGTATCCGGGATTTTACTGAAATCCCGCGGATTTAACAGCGCGCAGCACAAAACTGTTTGGTCCTGGATTTAGAGCGTAATTCACTTAAATTCCCGTTGTAATCCGATACAAACAGCCCTAAATGTTTTCTCAAAATCAATTTGGATTCATGCCGGGTAAGTCAACTAATGAACCTATACATTTATTGAGAGATTTGATAGAGAAGTATAGAGAAAATAAGGAGGATCTACATATGATATTTATTGATTTAGAGAAAGCATATGATAAAATTCTAGCATAAGTGCTATGGAGAGTTCTATAAAAGAAAGTGGTTAATAATACTTATATTCAAGTCATTAAGGATATGTATGCAAGAGATGTTACTTGTGTTCAAATACAAGGTGATTTGACCAAGTATTATCCTATTTTAGTTGGATTACATCAGGGATTAACCTTAAGTTCATATCTTTTTGCTTTAGTCATGGATGTCTCACTAGACATTTGCAAGAAGTTGTATCCTGGTGTATGCTATTGTTGATGATATTCCTCTTGTTGATAAGACTAGAGAAGGTGTTGAAGGTAAACTTGAATTATGGAGGTTAACCTTAGAGTCTAAAGACTTTCATTTGAGTAGATCTAAAACTGAGCATATGGAGTTTAATTTTAATAATAATAGATTTAGTTGGGGTGGGGGAGATTGTGACTTTGAGTGATCAAGTCATTAACAAGAGTACACATTTTAGATATCTTGGATCTATTGTTCAGAGTGCTGGTGAAATAGATGAGGACATTATTAATAGAATTTAAGTTGGATGGTTGAAGTCGAGGAATGCATCGGGCTTGTTGTGTGATAGAAAAATTCCTCTCAATCTTAAGAGGAAATTCTATAAGATAGTTGTGAGACTTGCAACGCTTTATGGTGCATAATGTTGGCCATTAAAAGAGAAGCATAATAAAGTTAAGTGTTATAGAGATAATGATGCTCAGGTGGATGAGTGGCTTTACTCTTTAAGACATGATACTAAATGAACATATACATGAAAAGGTTGGAAGATAAGATTAGAGAGAATCGTCTTAGATGGTTTGGTCACATAAAACGACAGCCTTTACTGACCTGGTTAGGAAAGTAGATGTGTTAGATTTGACTTATATTAAGAGTTAGAGCTAGACCTAAAAAGACTTGGTTAGAAAATATTAGAAATGTCCTTTTTTTATTAAGTTTAAATGAGAATTTGACTCTTAATATGACACAACAGAGAAAAATGATTCATGTAATCGATCCCACATAGTGAGATAAAAGCTTGATTTTGTTATTGTTGCATGAATTTTAGATTTTGAAATTTATTACATTTTTTTCTTATATTTTATTTGTAACCATTTTTTACTTATTAAATATTACAAAAATAAATTTCATGGGTCTTACACCCCATACCTCAAGGATTATGCCTTGCTTCGTAATAGGTAAATTGTCTCGTCTTATGCCTTCGCCCTTTAAAGCATTGGCTTTATTTATGCATGAGCGTTTTATTGTTTTGGCAAGGGTTGTGTGTGTTTCTTCAATTTATGCATCATAATTATGGCTAATGTTATATATTTTAGTGGATCATATCATCTCTCTTATTTATTCTTTCATGAATGTAAAACTTGTTTGAAAGTTAAATCACGCAAATCTTGGTGTTCTCTGAATTATGTTTTCTTTCGCTTTTGTTTATTTTGTGGCACATCATTTTCGATCTTGATAATATGTTCTAACACTGCCGACTTTCATGTGATATTTGAATCCCCTTCATTCCTTGATGGATACTCTGAGTTAGGGGTGTAAATGAGCCGAGTCGGCTCTTGAACAGGTTAGAACTTGACTTGTTAACAAGCTTGCGAGTTGAGCTTATCAGGCCAAAGCTCAAATATTAAACAAGCTTGAGTTCGAACTTGTTAAAACTTGAGCCGGCTTGAATTAATTAATATTTAATAAAACAATTATGTATTAAAATAATATACATCATTTATTATATATTAATATAATTATTATACTATAAAACATCTGTCAGAAAAAGCTTGAATAGCTATTACTTTTTTATTTTTTTGAGAAAAGCTGCTGCATCAGTCAATAATGAATTTTTGTTGAGTATTTAATGCTCTTTCACTGGATATTTGCTATTACTAAATAATTAAATATTTAATGTATTTTTATTGAGTATTTGCAAAAGTACAATAAATAGTCAATAAAAAATCATTCGTAATTAAATATTTGATGTACTTTTACTAAGTATTTGCAAAAAACGCAGCAAATAGTCAGTTAAAGCACAATAAATCCAGACGGTTCTCTTCATCCGGTGTCCGCAAGGAATAATTTTTTCTACTTAGACCCCTCTGTAATTTACCCTGTAATAAGCAGTATCAAAGCCGATGGTTTGATCGAGAGCAAGTGGTTCATATATTTTGATCGCATAATTTTTTTTATGATTCTATCATAGTTTAGTAAAATTTAGTAATATGTGACTCTTTGTGGTTGAGTAGGTCCTAGATACATCATACATGCTACTTGATAACGTTTTTTAATTGAGATAAAATATTGGCTGTTGTTGAGAGCGCCAATATGAGAAGGAGACTGTTTAAGACACCCAAAACTTTGAGTTTTATACCACATCATGTGATTGAAAAAAAGTTATTTTAGAAATATCAAATATGGTGCTCTAGGGGTGTCAATTTCGATCACGAGTCGGGTTCGAGTTCGTGTCGAACCCAGAACTGACTCGGGTTCAATCGGTTCAACCCTAACCCGACACTGATAGATAAACGGGTTGGAGACTCGGACCCGACCCGTCGGGTTTCCGGGTTGACCCGACCCGACATGGGACGCGGGTGCGCAGGGGGACACGGGCTAGGGTGCGCGGACGCGGGCGAGCAGGCGGGCAGCTTGAGCGCGGGCTCGACTTGCGAGCTGCGGTTGCGAGGCGCGGGCAGCCGTGGGCAGGCGTAGGCAGGGTGCGGGCAGCTACGTAGGTAGCCGGGGTAGGTGTGGACAGCCTCGGGCAGCGTGGGCAGCTCATTCTAAACTGGTTTTCGGGTTGACCCAACAACCCGTCTGGTCAACCCGAACATGATCCGTTTTTCAAACAGGTCGAATTTGGGAACCCGAACCCGACCCCTTTTTCAAACGGGTCGGGTCTAACGCAAAAATTTTCGGGTCGAGTAGGGTCTTCGTGTCGTGTCAAATATTATTGACACCCATATGGAGCTCTTATTTATATCATATACATGAAAATGTTGATAATGAATGTTATCTTTTTAGTAGAATCCAAGCATTATGATGTCCAAGTGTTGACAAAGACTGGTTATAGACAATATAAAGTTTAGGTGTATTTAGTTTGGTCATTGGTGTGCGGACCCCAAACAACATCAAGAGGGGAAATTATTATGTGTGGACATCGGACAGAACGTGCCACATCACCACCTGGTACCGAGTAAAAAGTGACATGATGTGTTCTGTTTGATCTCTGGATGTCATCCGGGGTCCGCACAAAATATTTTTTCATATATGGGAGGGTTTTTATTCAATCCAAGTTCAAATGCAAGAAATCATAAAATTTGAAGGGAATAAATGAAAACCACAAAGCCACAACTTGAGTATTTGCAAAATTACAACAAATACTCAATAAAAATTCGTTCATAATTAAATATTTGATGTACTTTTACTGAGTATTTGCAAAAGTGCAGTAAGTAGTCAGTAAAAGCGCAACAAATCCGAACAATTCTATTAGTCCGGTGTTCGCCCTCTGTAATTTACCCCGTAATAAACAGTTCGCCCTCTGTAATTTACCCCGTATTTTGCAGTATCAAAGCAGATGGTTTGATCGAGAGCAAGTGGTTCATATATTTTGTGACTCGCATACTTTTTTTTATGATTCTATCATAGTTTAGCAAAATTTAGTAATATGTGATACTTAACGTTTTTTAATTGAGATAGAATAATGACGGTCGTTGAGAGTGCCAATATGAGAAGGAGATTGTTTAAGACACCCAAAACTTTGAGTTTTATCCCACATCGTGTGATTGAAACTTGCTAGAAATTAATTAGGAATTAGTTTCAAGCCATAATGGCTCGTTTGATTTAACTCAAACATGATAGAGTTGATTCCAACCTGAATCAAATTTCTTGTGAGTTTTGAATGAGCTTTGAGCCTTGTGTATTCTTATTATAGCCTAATTTCCAAGAATTATTCTTCACAAAAATCAGAATCTGATTTCTCCACTTACGTGAAGTAACTGGTTAGAAATTCTCAGATCTGCAGGGTAGAACGGCCAACTTTTTTTTCCTTGAGATTTGAGTTGCACGCATCTTATAGTTTCAAGCATCAGAAAACAGGAATTAGTACTCAAAGAGCATTTGGAATTAGTTGCAGAGGAAAATGAAGTTTTATGGAAGTTCTATGGGCTGTGGCATGTGGTATGAAGTAAAATAAGGGTAAAGTATTTGATCCGAAGTAAAAGAGATGCACCGTAAACTTTTGGTGTATTTGAAATGCATCATTTAGTATAAATTTGGTGTATTTAGAACATAGTAGTTTTGGGCGATTTTCAAACAAACTGTAAATGCATTGTCATTGCCATTGCATCTGCAAGCCGCCACCGCTGGCCGCCCGTCACCGGTCACCGTTGGCAGCTGTCGAATACCGCCTCATGATGGTTTCCATTAGATTGTCTTTGTCCTAGAATTGCAGGATTTCCGCAAACAAGGCTTGATATTATATTGATGTTGATGCATGCTCAAGGGTGATATTCATGGATAGGCCAATATTAGATTTTTGAAGCATCTCACAGTTAATTTAATGCCAAATAATAGAAAAACATCATGGAACTAAATAAGGGAAGGTTCTTTCAGGACTGAAGCAAGCCAAAAAAACACTTTACCTGGTTTTGTAATAGATAATTAAACTGAAAGAGAGGAAACATTCAAATGTTCCATTGCCTCTCAAGGGATATCTACATTCATCTCTACAGCATCCATCAAATAAACACCATCTTCTTCAGTATTCTCCATGGCAGCCTTCAGAGCTTCTTCATCCTGGTTATAAAAAATCAGCATGGGATCAGCACAAACGTCATAAAAGGGAAATCAAATTTCTTCATTAGATTGAACCAATTCAAAGATCAAATTTGCCTGAGAATCTGTGTCACTTACATTATCATCAGAATGAACAACCCTAAGCCCATGGATTTCCCAACCGAGCAACTCACAAACCACTCTTCCATACGACCGATGCACCATTATCCTCTTCGTCTTAGAAATGAAAGTCGCATGCTGGGAGACCGCAGCCAATCCAACGAACTTCTTCCCAAGTTTCTCTCCAATCCCCTCACATGCAAGGCAATAAAACTCCCCCTTTGCCCAATCTCTCAGATAAAAATCCCTCAAATCTGCTTCTTTATGAAAAAGCCCCTTAAAAAAATTGTAACTTTTCCCATCATTACGATCGTCGACTTCCCAGTCTTCGTCATCGGAACCGCACTCAGCGGCAAAGAACTCCCGGCACAATCTGAGGGCGTTCGCCTGCGCCAAAGCCTCGGCAGAAGCCGGCGGCTGCGCTGGCGATGGCGATCTAAGGTTGAGATTCCAAGCGGTTGGCTCTGGATTCTCGTCGGTGACGGGCTCCAACGGCCAATCGGTGTCGGATGTGGTTATAGCGATGGGAGCGGCGGGTCTTGGAAGGCCAGCGAGAGGAGCCCAGTCTTCTAGCAGAAGCTGCAGCTTTTCTTGGCGCTTCCTTTCCTTTCGCTTCCTCCGGTTTTCCCTCTTGAACGCGGCGGAGTTCACAGGAGGAACAGTGGGAATGTTAGGGTTTGGAAGAGCAGAAGAGTTAGAGGATGCAGCAGTCTCCATGGTCGAGATTCCAAAGAGCTTGGCGCAAAATTAAATAACGGCTAATATTAGATATTACCCATTTATATTAAACACCAATCATCCATAGTTCTCAACTTGAATTGACATTTCTTTTATTTTGAATTTTTTTATTGATACAACATCACAAAATTAGCTTGATCGGGCACGAATCTCGAGTCAAAAGCTTGTTGGAAACTTTAAAAATTAATTTTGGGAGAACCTGAACTCCGATTTCAGCGAGCTTACAGTCAAACTGAGCGTATCGGAAATACAAACCCAACGACACCAAATTCAACTCAATCCGAGTCCAAATGAGTCCGAATCAAGGACCCGAAGGCTGTTGGAAGGCTCAAACCGCAATTTGAGTTACCAAACGGTCTCCGATTTTAATGAGCTTATACTCGAATCGAGCGGCTCGACGAGAAGAATCCAACGAGCCCAAGATCGCCGAATTACGACATCATTAAGGCTTCCAAATGTCCAACGAACGGTGCATGATCAAAGGATTCGATATCTGCCGTCCATTCAAACCACTCCCAATCGCCCCTGATCTCACGCCTATTTACGAGCTATGCCACTCCAGAAAAACTATAAATAGAGCCCTCATTCTACACAAAGAGGAAGAAGGGAAGAGAGAGAAGAAGAAGAGAAGAAGGAGGAGAAGGAAGAAGCTCCTCCTCGACCACCGCCGGAGCTCTTCCTGTAGCCCGAACACGTCAGGATTCTGCGTGATATTCGGGAGAACGCAGGAATTCTTCCCAACTTCCACGTGATGCTGCAAATTCTTCCAAATTTTCAATAGAGTTCCCTTCTGACGCTGAAACTCCGCCCAAGTGAACCCGGAGTTCTCCTTTGCCACCAACAGACGTTGGACTTCTACCCGACGTCGAACCTTCACTCTTCGCCAAGTTTTCTACCCGACGCCGGACTTCTACCGGTTATCGGACTTTGTTGGACGTCTACGCGAAGATGGATTTCTTTTCATTGTTGGACTTCTACCTGACGTTGTCCTTCTGATCTTTGTCGTCAGACTACAGTCTTTCCGACCTCCGTCGCCCGCTGACTACGGTCCTCTTGACTTATGTCTCCCGCCGAATACAGTTCTTTCGACCTCCGTCGCCCGCCGACTACGGTCCTCCTGACTTATGTCGCCCGCCGACTACAGTCTTTCCGACTTCCGTCGCCCGCCGACTATAGTCCTTCCAACAAAACGAATACGTCAATAGTAACTATTTGTATTTACATCATGTAATGTACTCTATAAGATGTACATCAAGCTAAGGCCTTCTCCCAAGGAAGGGCCTCATTTGTAATCGACTGCAAATACTAGTGGATTCGTTCAAACTGGACTAGGCCCCGTGGTTTTTCCCCCTTTTTTCAGGGGTTTTCCACGTAAAAATCTTGGTGTCTTATAAATGCTAGACCCTCTCTCCTTATCTGATTGCATACCAGATTTTCGTACAACACTAAGACGATAAACTTTATATTTCTCTACCGCCGCGAATACTCCTGGACGCAACATTTATAAAAATCCAAAATTTCGTAAAAGGTTAAAATTTAAAAAATTTTAGATAATAATTAATCAAACAATATAAGTAAAGTGCTACAAATTAATTGTTGATTGATGTGCACATAGCTGCATTTCCTTTATAGGTTGTTTGGTTGGCTAGAAAAAGAATTCATTGTACAAAGAATACTTTGAAGTTGTTTGTATGAGTGTAAAGTAATTCAGCTGAATGATTTTTTTTTTTATTTGAAGCAAAATCAATATAGTATAAAGTTTAAAGATGTTGGTGATCGAAGGATGATGATGATGGTAGATGATGGCGGTAGTTGGAGGATGGCGGTAGTTGGAGGATGGAGGTGGCGGTGGTCAATAGTGAGTGATGATGGTTAGTGGAGGTGGTCGTCGACGGTTGGTGGTTGTCACGGGAGATAGCTTGTAATGTAAAATGTTTTCACTCAAAATTGAGCATGTTTGATTTACGTAAAAAATGAACTAGAATAGTTTACACTATATTTAATTTACTTTGCATTCCTTTTTCATTCAATCCATCAAAATTTTCAAAACCTCTGCATTTCGATTAGAAATGCTTTTAAATTTTATCTTCATTATGAAGAATTGTTGGTAATATTTTGTTGGGTTAATTAAGAGAAATTTGACTTTATATCATAATATATTTAATTAGTTTTATAATATCATTTATGTATATAGTTCTTTTCAAATAAATTTATCCCTAATATGGGAAAATCACTTGTATTCACAAGCTACTAATTAAACTCGTGTAGGTCATTTGAAAGTCATTTGAAAGTACTTTAATCCAATTTAAGTTCTAATTGATTTGAACTACTTCGAGCCCCATAAAGCCCAGACGATGTGGGACTATGGAGGGGACAAATGATGTTTAAAGGAGAAGACATAATGCCTTAGAATTAAATTTAGAAAAATTGTCTATTTATCATTTTAAAAATATACCAAAGCTTCTATATATCATCAATATAAACAATAACCAACGAAAGTAACTAAAATCATATACATCAAGATATTTTACTTTTTATTAACTCAAAATATCATTTATACTAGCTAGGAGATTACTTTATCACTATTCTATCACAAGCTCATCACTACAAAGGAATAAAAGAAAATATATAATAAAATTTTAAAAAAATATATGAGGATTTCTAACAACTCACTCTAACTGGTCCTGACCTATTCCTTGACTCGAAATCATTAAAAATCCACAAAATAAGCTCAAAAGCCTAACAGTAATATAAAACTCACAAAAGCTTTCAATGCAATGACTAAAGAATTAATATGATATGCTCAATCTAATATAATCAATAACATTCAATGAAGTTAATGACAAAGTATTATCAATAAAACTCAAAATGATCAATAATAAAGTTGGGAATCATTATAATGAATCTAAAAATCAATAATTTGTATAAAATTCGATAAATCAGTGAAATAACGGTGCAAAAATTATTTATAAATCATTAAAAAATATATTATATATATTCATATGCATTGTATGTTTATGTATTATCAATACATCAAATATTGTCAGCAATATTAATGTATCTGTTAATGTCATCAGTGCTATCAGTATATGCATGCATCAATATATAATTTAGCAAGGCAGGACGTCCATTTTTAATGTGGTATTTTCAACATCTTTTACCCAAACTGATTCTCAATTGTTCATCAATCATATCAATTATCACTTATCCAATTAATCAATTATCAAATTCAATTAATTAATTATCATTACAGGTGGTTTCATTAAATCAATAAAGAGTCGACACTCTTTACCCGTAAGCATAATTGGTCATCTGTTATAGATTACAATCGGGATAACACCACAAATTATCTTTAAAGGAAAGTTCGTCGGCCCATCCTCCTGCACAAAGTATCATATTTTAACAGCCAACCAATTTTATAATGTTAACAACTAGCATTTCTTGCTTATGTAAATGCCATAATCAAAATGCAATATTAAATAAGCAATTCTATATAATAATCAAAATTATTGAAATTAAAATGAAATTTGAGTTACTTATAATAAATATAAGAAATCTCTGAACAAAATTAATAGATAAAAAAAGTACCGAACCATATTCTCTCTCTTCCCTTTGTTTTTTTTTTCAACATGGCACGACGCTTAAATTTATATTTTTCATTTAAAAATAATATAAAAAATCAAATTTTTACAAAAAAATATGTGTGAGGAACAATTATTAGGTCCCGACACCGGACGTAGCTCTACATCCAGAGGTCAATAACATGTCGCCACGTGCTCTTACTCTTTACCGCACTACCCGAAGACCCGACCCAGACCGGAACCCGATATTGTTATGTTCACATATTGTTAGGTATTGCTCGGTATTGCTAGGTATTTCTTGACAATAATGAGAAATAACGCTTTGTCATGACCAATACCTAGCAATACCGAGCAACACCTTTCAAAATCGGGGTATTGCTCGGTATTGCTAGATATTGATCTTGACATAATGATATTTCTCGTTATTGTCGAGCAATATCGAGCAATACCTAGCAATACCCCGATATGCACAAATCAGCCAATAAATAGCAATCCCGGGTTCGGTCCGGGTCAGGTCGTCGGGCCGCGCGGTAAAGAGTAAGAGCACGTGGCACCATTTTACTGGCATCCGAACGTAGAGCTACGTCAGCACACCGTACCAAATAAAAATTCGTGTGTGAGAGGGGATTGACCAACAATATACAAAAAAAATGCTCAAATATATGCTTTAAAAGTAATTGAGGCCCCCATATACTAAGATATTTAGTCGTTATTTTGTTCAAATATATCCAAGTCTTGTGGACTTTTATTTCATCTCCCCTTAAAGTATCTTTCTTTGCTCTCTTTAATATATACTTGCTAAAAACTTCTAAATTTGACATTGCTATTTTTTGCATAGACTTTAGGCCTATTATTAACTCTTTTTCTTCTTTAAAATTTTTACTAAGCCATGACTCTCAACAATTTCTAAAAGAACATCTTGATCCAATCAACTAGAGTAAGATAATTCTGACCTTTTGTTAGGCTTGTGCTAACAAAAGAAGACTAGTTGGTTGGCATGAATTGTCGTGTTGAATAAAAATTGTTTGGAACAGTTTTAAACAACTTTTTTTTTCTGTTTGAATAAAAATACTGTGCATCTCCAACAGAATGTCATTCAGATATTTGCAGCTCACGCAAGCATCCAATCGAGCGACATTCAGAAAGATATTTTCATATTTTGAACAGTTGCATCGAACATTTAAAAAAAAAGATGTCGAATATGAATTACTGTTTGATATGTCTCTTATTGTATTTTGAAGTGAAAAATAAAATTTTTAATTGGAGATGCTCTTAGATAATATTAACTTTGAATTTAAATTATTTATTCTTATTTTTTTATCCTTTTTATATAAACAATAAGTGTTGGCTCATAATTAAACATATTTAGATATTTAAAAATTATTTTGTGAGATAAAATTAATGCCTTCTTGGCCTAAATTACGCATCACTCCAAATCCCTTACATGAATTATTTTCACCTCCACCTTCATCTCTAATAGTAAATTATAAGTTATTTAATTGTACTGCAGTTAATTATCATGATTAATTAATATTAACAGATTAATCGTTGCAATTATAATTTTAATTATGCTTAATATCTCGTTAATTATCGAAGGGACGGTATAAATTTGGAACCTAGAATAATACCTTACGACACCGACGCCATTCTGAACTCACCGTAGCCCGGTTTCTACTCCTCGGACTGCGGTTCCGTCGGCCGTAAAGATGAAGGTCAGATCGAAGGAGGCCGCTCCAGCCGGCGAGCCGAAGTCCAAATCCATAGCTCGGGTTAGAAAGCCGAAAGGCAAAGCTAAGAAGAAGAAGAAACTCGCCGGCAACGACCCCGCCAAGCCGAAGAAGCCACCGACTGCATTCTTCTACTTCCTGTGAGTCCGGTCTCACATTTTCCATCGATTTTTCTTTCATTGCCAGTTTTTTATGTTGTGGATTTGCTTTGGTTCTTTATTTCTAAAGATTTTTGCGGATAAATGGAGAAACTAGAAGTTTAGTTAACTTTATTTGAAAAATTGGCAGATTTTGTTTCAGTATGGGATCTGGAATGTGCGTCTCTTAACCAAACTTGATCGGGTGACTGATGAGTGGACTGGAAACTGTTGTGTTTGTTTATGGTTGCAGGAAGTTATTGTACAATTCGTTTATTCATGTTGAAATTACTATTGTTTGGATAAGGTATATGGTATATGGTTTGTTTATTTGACATAAACAGGGTTAGGGTTTTCTTTGTTAATACTTGTCATTTTTGAAACCGGGCATTCTGATGCAAGACTTATTAGGATGTGCTGGCAGGGATGCTTTTATTTTTTTTCTCTTAGGTGTGCTTTCATGTTGTTCACTTTTCTCATTATTTAATCTTTTAATGGAGAAGAAAAAAGGTTAGGTGGATTGTAGACAATTGTTTTTTATTATAAATTTAATTTAATTTCATTTTATACCTTCAATAGAATGAATTTGTTCATGAATAAGAGACATTTCACATTTTCAATGTTTGCTAGATTGTTCGTGTAATATGTTCATGAACAAATATAAGATGAATCATAAATCGTTTGTTCGTGAACGAGCTCATTCGGTAGCTCGAAAATACTATATTCATGATATTGCTTATTTGATAGCTCAAGAATACCCATTAGATTTGTTCATGAACGTGCTTGTTTGATAGTGTAAAAAAAATTCGCTAAATATGTTCACGAACATAGCTCATTAAGGCTTGTTTGTTTAAAACTTGTAAGCACTAAACGAACCGAACATGAACCAAACGTGAACACCATTAATTTAAACGAATCAAACATGAACACAAATAATAAAACTCAAATCAAACACGAACCGAACTTGAACAAGCTAATAATAAATGAACTCAAACATGAACACTAGCATACTCGGCTCGGTTCATTTGCAACTCTTGTGATTGTGATGATGATATTTTTGTAATGAGTAAATACTAATTATGAGGCTTAGCTTTTGATGATCTACAGGTTTTTTGGTTAAATTGTTGAGGCTTGCTGGGTAAAGATGTATTAACGCAACAAATACTTTTGGGCATTTAATTATGGAAGATAACCTAAGAAACTATGTGCTTGAGCCTTCTAAAGGGTTTTAAGTATGTGTTCTTTATTTAACATAGATATCCTGAATCTCCAAAACTTAAATGTTTTTTCAACTATATGCTGTAGAGTATGGTTTATTTTATGACCATTTTCTCCCAAACCATCTCTTAACTATGTAGTCAACCAAAATCATGTAATCTAGTAGACTTGGTTGCTATTTATATGTTAAAATTATTCTCTTTTACATTCAAATTTGTGCCAGTAAAATTATGCAGAGTAATCAAGTTGGCTCAATTAGCTTTCCAGGTCATTTTTCTTCTCTTAGTCAAGACATTAAATGTGGTATTACATTGATCATATTCATTCCATCCAACAAAAATATTGTTGTTCTAGTAATTTGTCCCAGCGGATGTAGCTTCTAGGGTTATAAGTTTAAATATCATAATAATCACATTTTAATGTGGTAAAATTATGATCTTATTTAAATTGTAGCATTAATCATTTATTTTTATTGATTCGTTTAATGTCATATATTCAATTGATATTATGATGCAACTATATGCTATTTGGCTGATTTGATATGTGAATATTTAGGGTTAAGGGTTTTCTACTGCAACTAGAATGATGTAATGTATATAGATCACACAAAATTTTTTATAATTTATAGATCATAGAACCATTAAATAAGCCAACAACATATTTTCTTGAATGTAAGTAGTAAATATGAGAAGCATAAAATAAACGATAATGTAATGATCAAATAACTTTGAAGAAATCAACAAAAAATTTGAACATGTAAAATCAATGACCAATTATAATTTAATCTTCGCAAGATTCTCTATTGTTTCTAACTTATATAACATCAAGAGTACTAGAAATAGTCATAAGTTATGTAGAATAAACTAGATCAAATAAGTTAGCAAAGTAAACAATTTAGACATCCTGCAGTGGAGATGATTTTTTCCTGAATTAGGCAGTCACATTTTATAACTCATTTGAATGAATCATATATTCAACTTGCCTGGAGATCCTTCTTCTCTTATATTTTTAATTACTCTTTTATTGGGTCTTCTCTCTTTTACCCCCCTTCAATTAGCACGAGCAGAATATTAAGTAAATTTATTTTTCAATAACATGGAATCCTTTTATTCTTGTAGGGAAGATTTTAGGAAGACCTACCAAAAAGAGAACCCAGATGTCAAATCAATGTCTGAAGTATGCTTTACTATTCTTGTGTTCAAGCATTAAAATTTCTCTTTAGCATTTTTTAATATAATTCAAACAATTTATCCTTTCAGATTGGCAAGGTGTGCGGTAAGAAGTGGAAAACTATGACCTATGAGGTCAGTTCCTATTTTGGTTACTCAATAATGGAAGAATATTTCATTTTATTTTTCAGGAAGTGACATATTTTCCTTGCTTATGCGCATCATTTTTGTGATTGAATTCCTTTGCTATTGTGGTAGGATTATGTTAGGAAATACTTGAGTTCGCAACCAACCCTAACAATAATTGGTCAAAATAGCGAGAAAAACAAGAAAATCTAGATGAAATCAATCTAAAAACAATAGATTGTAATAGTAGAATCAAAACAAAACAAACTCCAAGCAAGATACAATTGATCCTCAATTCGAGAGGAGGATCGTCTCTACCAATCTCTAAATTATAGATCTAGAGCCCAAGACACCAAGGAAGACTCTACGAGCGGAGGATACTGCCAGCATTAGAAGGTGAATTGGACAGCGCTGGAGGCTCGACGAGCGGCTCGAACTCGTTTTATGTGGAACAAATCGTGCTCGAGCTTGATTTTCGAGCTCGAGCTCGATATTTAACAATTGAGCTCGACTCGAACACTCCCCTGATTCAAGCTCGACTCGACTTGTTTGCAATCCAACTCGCATCCTCCTTCCTCTCTTACTACCCCTCTTTTATAATACCCAGTGTTCATCTATCACGCACGAACATGAGCTGAGAATAGTGAATCATTTCAAGCTCTATCTGAACTCAAATATCTCCCAAGAATGTTAAGCAGAGTTCCATAATGGCACTGATTGCTCAACCTTTTGGCATGCTTAGGCCCCTCCTTATTTACTCTTTGTATTTGTACATACATCTTAATTTGGGATCTTTAGACATTTATTATTTCAACCTCATTGTTGTAAGTACAAATCACAGTGCGGCAGAAAGCTTTAATTTCTTCCACTGTTTGCTAGGAAAAAGTAGCATACTATGATGTAGCTACAGAAAAGCGGGCCGAGTTTGAGAAAGCCATGTCGGATTACTTGAAGAGAAAGGTGAAACATCGCTGCTATTCTTTATATAAATTGCTTTGAGATTTCCTCCGCCATAGACAAAAATTAATTGTCTTCTTGATCTTGTAGGAGAGGAGGGACTTATCGGAGGAATCAGATGACTACGAGTGATTCTGAATGGTGGATTTGGAATGGAAGGCAAATCAGCAGTTTATTTTCGTCAACTAATCTATTGATTATTACAATTATATGTTTGTCATGGAAGATGAGAAATTTTTGCACTCTCTGCAGGACAGCTCTTCAGCTGACTGAATCTGTTGTAGTTACTGTATAGTAGTTTCTGATATTTTAACAAATTTCAAACTTTTTTTTAGAAGTTTATAAGATTTTTTATAACCAAACGTTCTGTATTGAGACCTTTTGTTTATAGCTCTGTTTTTTTTTTTCTTAATTATGAAAGTGCTCGTGCTCGGTAGCTTTTGATAATCAAACTGGTGTCATTAGCTCAATAGGTGCCTGGGACCAAATAAAATTACATTTGGTGCTGGAGAAGAAGAATAACCCTAATCAAGTGGGGAAATTATTGGGTTCGAACACCGGACATCATCCAGAGCCTAATGAAAATGCGGCACATCACCTCCTACTCAGTACCAAGCTCGGTATTTCTCGGTAGCTCGGTATTGGATAACGTGACTGCACTTAATTGATCTCTGGATAATAAACTGCATCCCGTGTCTGAACCAAATAATTTCCCAATTAAGTGAAGCCTTCCAAGCAGGCGATTTGAATATTACTAATTAAATACTTTGTTACTCATCTGACAAATTATCTGATGCGTGGAAATTTATAATATTGGTTTATACATAATTTCATAAATTAAAGCTATTTAGCTCAACTGATTTTTTAAACTGTTTTTCCACGATTTTAGATCCATCATAGACTTATTTTCTTTACAGTATTTTCAAGACCAATGCAACATACATTCCCCACATTATTTGAAGGAGTAAAAGCAAAGACTATCGTAGTAGAATTATTCTAACTATACCAAAGAAGCAATTGAAACATGAGAGGATAAATCAATCAGTAAGCATGGTTTCAGAAGGGTGATGTTACAAGCGTAATTAACTACACAATTGTAAGTACTTGTAAGCATCGGAAGAGCAAACTCTGCAGGGAATTTTCAATACGCAAGGAATGCTCTACCTTCATCTCCAACTTTACAAAACTGGTTCAGCGCCTATTTGCATGTGAGATTAGTTGCATTTTCTTCCTTTGAAAAATGATCTTTCTATATGGGACTTACTTTCAAGGCCTGCAAATTTAATAAGATAAGAGATTATATTTGGTTTTTAGCCATAGAGCTCTATAATTCTCAAACCTACAGGAAAAGAGAAATATGTTTAAAACTGTACAGAAGATGAGCAAAAGGATGGCCATTAATCATAATACTTAGAGCTAAGTGGAGAAATGACATACCCGATTTTGAGAGTTAGTAACGGCTGTTCTCCATTGAGGATTAGGTGGAGCCGTTGGGCTGTCGCTCATGATGGTTATAATTGTTGAAGGAGGTGGTTCCTCAGCAATATGGCGATAAGGTATTTCTCTCATCGACCATAACACATAAGCGGATGGAATTGAAGAACCTGGAAGCAAATTTTGTGAAACGCAAGTTATTATTTACTAGACGCCATTGCACGGGAGGAACAGAAGATTTAGGCTTTTCTATTGCTTCTTAAATCAAGATAAAAGTAGTAAATAAATACCAATTCTCTGTAAATGATAGAACACTTGAATAATGCATGTAGATCAGAGTAAAAGCAACTTACCCACAATAAAGTACAAGCATGCAAACACTGAACCCTTTACGCCGCCAAAATTCTCATTATGGTCAAAAGAAAGCATCTGCAAGTAAAAACAAGTCTACTTAGCAGTTCCTATTGAACACTAGGAAGAAAAGAATACTAAAGACAAGCACATACAGGGACGCTTGTAGTAAGGGCAAGTGCTGAGCTTGATGTGAAACATACAAGAGAAACAGAAGCCAAACTTGCAACCTGGATAAGACAAAAAAACTTATTAGTATAAAATGATATCATAGTAAAATATTTCTGAAAAGCAAAGATTTTAATTGGTAATTTAACACTGTTCAAACGTCATACCATGGTAAATGTCACAAGTTCCCTCCAACTTAAGAAATTAGAAACACAAGATTCCATGACAACCATAAGGACAATCAAGACTGTGTTATAACAAAAAGTCGAAATAACAAGTAGTCCTTATGATAATGCAATCATTTATATTCGTTACAATGAAAACCCACCTTGGAAAATAAACATCGTATATGCATGTGTTTTTTATGCATTGTCCAGATACTGTTTATGGGCACGTGAACCTGTGAGTAGATCTATGTAGTCCGTGCAAGCGCATGTATAAAATGTAATTTTATTGAAATATAAGTTGTAGTAGATCCTTAAGGGTTTCATAAGGAACATAAATGTCAATGCTTTCTAGTATTATCATATTATGTTCCACATGCTTATGATGATTAACAATCAGGATTCGGTTGAAAAGTTCCCTAACTTTGCTTTATTGATGAAGAAATGTGGGCTCCGAAAATTTGCGCCTCAGCCTCAACATAAAAACTAGTATGTTCTTTCTTTTTTGGGTCGCCGAGGGGAGTTTTAACGAGTAAATTCCGAGGCAAATTTTCAGAAGGCAAATTAGGTTTGAAATAAGACACTACCTAGAGATTTCACCCTTATTTTGTCAGGACTTTTTCATCTGAGTTTTGGTTTCCTATAGGTGCAAGCCCCAATAGTTAATTACCCCTTCCGATAACAAGGGAGAACTTTCGATTAAAGCAAGTTGTCAGCAAGTCGTCAAACAGATACATGGTATCTGATGAATAATAGCAGCATGAGTTTAGTTTTTGAAAATTTAAAATTTAAAATTGACCACCTTGCACTAAAAGTGGATGGTGGGGGATGACAACGAGCCCGATCAAGATCCATGGTTCCGTCAGAGGAGGTAGTCTACCCAACCTGACAGAAGGATTCTTGTCCAAGTGGGTAGACCTATGGTGAATATTTGTCTAATGGGACAAATTTGAATCCACCTTAACTAACAGAGAACCTTGTGCCCTATTGATCATATTCTATTGATTCATTACTGAATGCTTTAACGTCGTTGGGGAACATAAGAGCTTTGACCATGACCGTAATATAATTGTGCCATTTGACAGCAAACCACCTGGTCATAATCGTTTACCTGTGGTGCCATTTAGCGGCGTAACCACTGGTGGTGCCATTTGACGGCGAAACCAACGGTTAGATGACACGTGCTACGTCCTTGCTGGCAAGAGATAGATTGAGAATGAATCAAAGTGTTATTTTCGACTAGACATTTGCTCTTTATGAGTTGGAGTGATTTTCAGATTTGTCCACCTCGGCAAACTATTGCGGAGGGTGGATGTGTATTTTTTGCTTTAAGTTTTTGATGGTTTATTTCATTTTAAATATCTTAATTTTGGATAATTATTGAAAAATTAAAAATTTAATGGGCATTTAGGAATTTTGGGAGGCATTTTTTGATATTTGAGGTCCCCTCTGGTTAAGATTTTCTGTATCATCATCAGAGTTCTCATGGGCATTTGGAAGATATTTTGAAATTTATGGTCCCCTCCAGTTGAGATTTTCAGTCAACATTGCCATCATCGGGGTTTCTAAGAAAGAATCTCTCTCTGGATTGGAGCAATTGAGAGGTTGGGCAAGGATCAGCTGGTTGGAGTCAACAGAAGGTAGAGAGAAACGGGCGGCTTCGGCATTCGGTTGTACTGGAGTTTGACGGGTAGGCTTGCGTTCGGCTAGGGCAAGAGTGATCGGAGGGCAGGGATCGTGTGGCTTGCGATGAAGGGAGGAGGGAGGCGGGTCTGATGCTTGCGACAAGCTTTGACCTGGAGAGGGAAGATGGGCGTCGTGTTTTGATCGGAGGAGGTGGATCGAAAGGAGGAAGCAGAGTTTGCGTATGGGAAGAATCGTGAGTTTGACAGTGGGTTCGGCCGGAGAAGATTGGAGGTCGATAGGCTACAGGGAAGGTGGAGATCAGAGGAAGCAAAGAGAGGTAGTTTCCGTGCGTGAGGGAGAAGCAACGAAGCTTTCGCGTGTGTAGAGGAAAGAGCCGAAGGCTCTTCTCGTGTTGCTTTTAATGATAGCAAGAGAAGAGTTGAGACAAAGCACGTGAGGACTGCAAACGATGCCGTTCACAAGGCATGGGGCACTGTATCGACGGGGATTTGCACAGGATTCGGTACAAGCTTTGGCAAAGATAAAATCTTTTAAGCATTTTTTTATATTTATTTTGGCTTGTCTATTAAAGGTCAACAGACACCCACAAATTGAACTTTCAAATTAAAATTCACTAGCCAAGCCAATTAAGACTCATTTGACCGTCGCTTATTGACATTAAAATATTTTCATCAACAAGAACTAAATTTGAAAAAAAAAATTCAAATGTAAAGAATTTGTGTAAGGTTTTTATTCAATATAGAAAGGGCAAAACAAGCGCAACATATTATGTTAAAGCAATCTTTTTGAAATGCTATTGTATATACACTAAAAATGTACGCGACCTTTTATTGGTGGTCATTAGATTGGTTGATACAAAACAAAAGCCTCCGATGGATCACATACACGAAGCAATAGATGGCGCCAAAGAACCAAATAAAGTAGGCTTTAGCTAAAGGGAAAAATATGAGTAGATTTTGAAATCATTGATAAAACTTCAAAAGTGCAACTCCATCAATCAGCCATAGGAGAACAAGATTATTAGCATATTTAATATAGATATAAGACTTGCAAACATAATTGTAATATTTTGAATTTTAAGTGATTGAGATGTCGAGTACTTAACCTAAGCATAATTCTAGTTATTTCCATTATCATGATAATTTATATTTCAATCTACTTTTTTCATATTTGTCTGCATTTTTTTCATAATTTTTCAATATTTTATGCTATGCTTAAAATAGCACACTCCGCATTGTTCGCAACAATTTCACAAGGGCCTTCGCACTATGGTGCATTATTTGCTATTGACAAGTATGAGACGAGCATTAGATGAAATGTAAGGGTGCACTCAAGACTAGTCGAAGGAATTTTGGCTTGAACAACTACAGATATCAACTTTGTTCATCTTCATAAGAGTTGAAATTGAAATCAACCTGAATTACCTGATAACAAACCATAATCAAACCAACAATGAATCGCTTTTTTTAAATAGTTTCTAAGTGCTCAAGTCCAATTAACATTCATGGGCTTGGCATCATCATGAGCTGATATAGGCATTTTGGAAAGAAGAAGGCTTCAATTTCATCTATCACACCATCCCAACATAATCAAATCTACAATAAAATTTAAGGAGCAATGTAGAGATAAAAACTTAATAAAACAAAACCATATTGCACCAAATAATAGAAGATGTGCGTTTTGATCAATTAGCGTGCAATCGTACAAAATTAGATGCAAAAGTTAAATATTTATAGTTAAATCATCAAGGATAACTTTGTTGATTCAAATCATTGCACTGAATTTATATATATAAACTCAAAAAACGAAATTTATGATTTTGGTTGAATTTCTATACATAAAAGATTTAAAAAAAAAACTACAGGTCTTGTCAGCTCTAACAGACAAGTAAAACTAACAACTAAATGATAAGGTCAGTGAGTATATTCGGACCCTGATTTGAACCATTACTTATTAAAAGATCAAGATTATTTAGTCTGGATTCATAACAAGGGTACTTTTCTACAAGTACAAAAGGAATCAATATATTATAATTGGAGATATGCAAAGATGGTTACACCCCAGCCCCCAGCAATAGCTACACATTATCACAAGTAAGCTCAGAGACCTGCAAAAGCACACCTTCAATGGCCACTCAAGAACAAGCTTGGCTTAGAAATTGTGCCGCACAATAGCGGGGCATACCCTAGAAATTTCGAAATAAGGCTCCCTCAACTATCACATAATGCATTAGTTCTACGTTATCTACGTAGAGGGCACTCCCTTGGGACAAATAAAACTTTATCCAAAAAGAGTATTCCAAAAGATAAAAGAAAAACGATTTAAGAGAATTTGAGCATAACAAAGAAAGTTACAGATGCACCATAAAGCTCTTAATCCGATATTATATCTAAAGAAAATAATAAATAATTTTCATATGAATTAAACTATAACAGATCCAACTAGTCTATAAGTCATTGTCTAGCATGATGTTAAAACATGTTCAATAATATAGGAAGTGGAAGCAAGGAAAATGTGCTAGCAATAGAAAACAATACCTTCCACTTTTCACTTGAGGTCATCTCTGACCGTACTCTGCGCATTTTTGAGAATAGTATGCCTCCTAAAAATGATTAAGAACAGGGAAACCACATGTTATGTATTAAAGTTGATATGAATAATAAAAGGAGAAAAAGTAATTGTGTAACACTACCAACATGCCAAAAATGGATCACGATAAAGAATATAGATTTTGTCAAAGCAGCTGTCTTTTATGTGATTTTGATCCATTTTATGAACTGCCCATACCTAAGATGTCATACATCATGTATGCCCATTAATATTTATATTAACCTAAGGAATTTGGCCCCACCCATGGGGCAAACCCAGATGACTTAAAAAGATTCTATCATAAGCCAAATTAGTAAGATATTCAAAACGATAGCCTCAGGTAACGAGCCAAGACACATGTCACAAATTCACAGAATTTGAATTTTTAATATTGGTATTAAAGTATTATAAATTGATGTGAAACTTACATGCAATAAGAGTTGCTTTGGATTTTAAAAATAAATATTGAACATGAACTTTGCTAGCTAAGAACTTATGTTTCACTCAAGTCAAATTCATAGAAATTCCGTTAAAAGATTAAGTGATGGAAAGCGGTTAAAATGAGGTTAGCAAGACAATAGCAAAAACAACGCAAACAATATAATAATACAAATAGCAAATAAACAAGAATCCATGTCGTAACATTGAGAGATAGTCACCATGAGTTCCTTCTCACTCGCTCTTAAGGTTGGGTTCAGCGGAGGAACGGTAAAAGCAATCCCAATGACACCAGCACAAGACAAGTGGTCCGCAAAGCCTTGTTCGCCAGACAAATAGCTGGAGGAGATGAAGTCGTTGATCGTCTAATGAGAAGCCAAGACACTCGGGGTTGTTGAAGTTCAATCGTCTCAGCGAGGCAATAAAAGTTGCGGTTGATGTAGCTTTCCACCGAGTCGTCGTTTCCCAATCCGGTTCGTAGAAAGGAGAAAGTAGAATATCGATTTCTCCTTGGGCGTTGTAGGCAAAACCGTAGTCAACCTCAGGATCAGCCATACACCAATGGCAAGAGGGAGGGAGGAGCTTGTCTTCTTCTCTTAGCTTCAACGAACATGTGATGCAATCAAAAGATTGCCAAAATTAGTAGGAGAACCCCCGATCACAAAAAGAAACAAAGACGTTCCTTATAACTTGAAATAAAATGACAAACAACACTTTAAACATATCATGACATTACAAACTTAAATAAAACAAGAAAATATCTAAAGAAGCTTTTCCTGATCGAGAAGAAAGATACAAATTGGGTGGTTACTTGCGGAGAGAAGAAATAGATAATAAGCCCGAGACAAAGTCAAAGAGAGGACAAGCTCTCAAGCTTTTCCAATAAAAACCCTCAGGTTTTGTTCCAAAAATAATTTCATAATTCTCTTCTTTTATTCTTCAAAACACCTACATATATAGGAGAAAAGGGGCAGCCAAACAGCCCTTAAAACCACCTCCAACCGAACCATTAAGATAGGGAAAACAAAAGGTTAGCAGTTGATCCAGGAATAGTAGCCAAAGGGCCACCCAGGGAACCAGAACAGGCAGCCAAGGGTTGAAGGAACCAGCCACGGGAAGGGAGTCAGGTGGGGAAACCGAAGGGCCAAGGGAAGGGGATAGATAGCCACGGGAAGGGGAGCCAGGGAGGAGAAATCGAAAGGGCAGCAGGGAGGGAATGAACCTAATTTATTCTAATTTATGAGCTGGATAAGCACCAACTCAGCTTTAATGAGCTGATTTTAGAAGAGGACATAACATCTCACCAAAAATACAACTCAAAATAATTTGCCCCCCCCCTGCCTACATCAGATTCTTCCCCAGTTGAAAGAGCTCGTCTCCTGATGAGGTTGTTTTAGATTTTTCTCGACGAGACGAAGTAGGCGCATCTAATTCTCGAATCTTGGCCGCATACTTCTTCAAGATCTCCTCTTTCTTGCTTGAATTGGTCTTGTAGAAGTTTATTTTTCTTCATATAGTTTTCCGTACATACATGCATTTTCATTTGAAGCTTGTATAATTCATTTTGTAGTTGATCGGTTGAATCTCCCAGCGACGGAATCCATCTGTCCATTGGGACTTCAAGATCTTATGGCTGATTTTCTCCCACAACTGGTTCAATATTTTTGTCTTTTTCCATTTTTCTAAACACTTAAAGAAAAAGACACGAAAAACCTAGGAAGATTCTAACCTAGGCTGTGATACCAAATTTGATGCAATCAAAAGATTGCCAAAATTAGTAGAACCCCTGGTCACAAAAAGAAACAAAGATGTTCATTATAACTTGAAATAAAAGGACAAACAACACTTTAAACACTTTAAACATATCATGACATTACAAACTTAAATAAAACATGAAAATATCTAAAGAAGCTTTTCCTGATCAATAAGAAAGATATAAATGTGGTAGTCACTTGCGGAGAGAAGAAAGAGATAAAAAGCCCGAGACAAAATCGAAGAGAGGACAAGCTCACAAGCTTTTCCAGGAAGAAGAAGAAGAATGGAACAAGCTCGTAAGCTTTTCTAATAAAAACCCTCAGGTTTTGTTCCAAAAATAATTTCATAAACTATCTTCTTTTATTCTTCAAAACAGCTATATATATAGGAGAAAAGGGGCCAGCCAAATAGCCCCTAAAACCACCTCAAACCAAACCATTAAGATAGGGAAAACAGAAGGCCAGCAGTCGGTCCAGGAACAGCAGCCAAAGGGCCACCCAGGGAACTAGAACAGGTAGCCAAGGGGGGAAGGAATCAGCCATGGGAAGAGGAGCCAGGTGGGGGAAACCGAAGGGCCAAGGGAAGGGGAAAGACAACAACGTGAAGGGGAGCCAGGGAGGAGAAACCGAAGGGGCAGCAGGGGGGAATGAACCTAATTTATTATAATTTATGAGCTGCATAAGCAGCAACTCAGCTTTAGTGAGCTGATTTTAGAAGAGGATATAGCAGCTCACCAAAAATACAACTCAAAATAATTTGCCCCCCCCCCCACCCATGTCTAGAGTTTCCCAAGGCGAAGAGGAAAGAGGAGAGGGACGGACAAGGAGAGAGAAAGGGGAACCGGCTTGATGAAGGGAGCCCTAGGTTAGGTTAAAATTGGGAGAGGAGATTTCTCATATATCTGAAATTAGTTTCATATTTAATTAAATTTGGCGGGGAATTCAAGTGGAAATTTGAATTCAAATTCAAATGAGAGCTAGGTCCTCATTAGGAAAAACCATGGGGAGGCCCATTAATGGGGCCGGCGGCTTCATGAGGGGAGAGAGGGATTATGGAGAGATTTTGGGAGCTTCCAAATAGATCTTTGTAGACTAGGAAAGTAAATAAAAAATCCAATTTAATTTATTTTTAAATTGGATTCATGATTGAAACTTTCTTTATTTGGATTTTTAAATAAGGAAAGTATTTGAAATTCAAATTTTGAATTTCAAATGATTTAAATCTCTCCTTTAATTGCTTGAGTTAATCTAGGAAGGGAGTTATGATGATTGAAATCATCATAATTGAAGGGGAGCAAGAGGGGAGGCCAGCGGCTAAGGGAAAGGGAGTGAGGGCGTCGAGTGTGAGGAGAGGGGGCTTGGGCCGTCGGTTGGGGAGAGGAAATTTTTCTCTACTTGGAGATGGGATTGGATCAGGAAAGAGACGAATGTTGGGAGAACCGACGGGTGTGGCAAAGGTAGAGGGGAAACTTAGAACACGAGCCACGGACTATTCTAATGATTGGTGGGCATTGCACTTGCCCGCACCTCGGGCTCTCTCTCCTCTCTCGAGCACACACATGAGGAAGAAGAAAACAAACTCAGATTTTTATTCAATCATTCATCATCCTTTTACAACACATAAGACCACTATATATAGGTCTCAAACATGAAAAAAGAAATGTACACAATTGCCCACCGGACTACAATAACAAGACACTTCCCCATAGGGGTAAATTCGGAAAACAACAAAACTACATAAAACATAAAGAAATGCATCAAAATTAAAGATGTTGAATCGTAGCTGTCGATCTATGATTCCGCCGCCGGTACACATGTCTGAATCTCTAAACGATGTCCTCATCATAAATGCTAAAGGCTAAGATGGCAAAGTGATTTTTATTACATGATAAATCAACCATTAAAAAAGATCACAATTACTAGCCATCCACTCATAAGTTTCAACAGAAGATTGTGGGCTCACTTCCTCATGGGAAATACTAAGAGAAAACTTTTCCAGGCAGAAGATGCCAATTGGCAGATAATTAAAGTGGTTATGCAACCATGAAGCCAACAAAAAAAATTGAAATATATAAAATATGCATCAAGTAAGTTGCTCACCATAGATTGCCAGAGCTACTCCCAATATGATAATAAATGCAGAGAAAACATCTAGATAGACCTGCACATCGAGTAAATGGAAAGTAGGTAAAAGCTTAATAAAAAAAAATAAAGATTTAGTAAGAGACATACATGACACACAATTAACCATTAAATCCCTACAAAACAACAGCTTAGCCCAACTTAAGGGGTATCCTGTGACAGTCTCACGAATAGATTAGGCCTATTGAAATATTATAACAGGAAAACCATTTCAAGATATTTGTAGTTTGGTCCTAGATTTTCATCAGAGAGCAATCTGCCGCTTCATCATTAGAAAAAAGAGACGAAGTGCTGCAGAAAAAAAATAAAGACAATAAAAGGAAATAATAAAAAAAGGTAACATGGCCACAAATGTCCAGGAGGTGTGGGGAGCTTTCGAAGGGTGGGTTATTTGGAGTTGCGGGTACTAGAACATACGTGCATAATTTTGTTAAATTCAAAATTTAAAAATATGAATTATTTAATTAAAATTAAAGTTATTAAATTTTTTTTAATTAAATATCATTCATAAACAAATCAGGTAGATGGAGTATCTCCAATATGGTACAACTGTAACCATATTGGACAATCAACGATGAACCAAGAAAAATAACATCAGCATGCAAACAGGGCTAGGGGTACCTCCGGCACCAGTTCCTATTACTAGCCAATGGCCTAAAACCGTAGGAACACCTGACCAAGCTACTGGACCTCCACCAGACTCTACAACCTCCCCCACTTGCAAGTGTTTCAAATTCATGGTTTTAGACATATTGCATCCAAATGTCCCACAAGGTGGCAGGTGACCTTAGTAGAAGAAGCACCATGTGAAAGTCTCACTTCCTTGGATTAATTAGTTAAAGAACCAATGGAATCGCAACTCCTACCAGCAAATTAAGTAAAATTATTAGTCATCTGCCCCATTTTAAGCGTACAATATGAGAGAGAGAATGTGGCTCCATCACACTATATTTAGAACAAGGTGCACTGTCTGAGGCAATGTGCAATATGATGAAAGATGGTGGAAGCTGTGAAAATGTGACATCCACCCTTATAGTGGAAAAATTGAACATTTCTATTATGCCGCAACCAAGACCATACCAACTTTCATGGCTCAAGAAAAGAAACAAAATCACTATAAAAAAATATGGTTGGTACAATTCTCTAATGAAGAAAAACTTCAAGAACAAATTCTTGTGATGTTTGCCATGGATGTATGCTAACTTCTCCTTGCAAGACCTTGGCATTATGATCACCGGACTAAGCATGATGAATTTCACAATACCTATTCCTACAAAGAAGATCAATTGGTGGTGCTCCTACCTTCCAAAGAGTTGGAGGAACCTATAAACTACAACCCTAAAGTGGTGTTGCAATCCCTCTTCAAGCAGACCGCAAATAATTAGCAGGGCATTTTGGAAGGAAAAGACGTTGGCACATTTTGTACCATATCAGAGGATATTGGATGATACAAATATAGCCAATTTTTATTTTCAAGAGATGTTCAAATTGCATGACCATTCCATAACAATTACATCTGATCGAGAAAACAAATTCCTTGGCTATTTCGGGAGGGTCTTATGGAGTAAGCTTGGTACTAGAATACCATTCAGCTCTGAAGCACATTCTTAAACATATAGGCTCATTATGAAGTTTTTTTGGATTTGGATTATGTCGAAGCCTCTCTCAATCCTCTCCTAGATTGAGAGAATGACACCGGGCTGGCCTATCAGGTCCTGTTCAACCAACTGAACCCTCCTCTCATATTTAACATGTTATTTCTTTCTTTTATAGTAATTTCTATTTTCTTTAACAATTCCCTCAAAAGAGGCCTTTGAGATAGCCTTAGTCTATAAATAGAGAGCTATCTATTCTTGTATTTAGTTTTTGGAGATTGAAGAATGCCATCTTTTCTTTCTTAAGTTTCTTTCCTATATCCTGGCCAAGACCGGTGGCGGTTCTCTTCTTCCCCAACCTGAGATAGGTTAGATCTTTTCTTTTCTCCCTTCCCCCTTCATCAAGAACCCTGCAAAACTGCTGTCCACCACCCTCCCAACCGCCTACAATTTCTGGCTGCTGGCTATACAGTGTTTGCACCTCCTCTAGTACCATTCCACTGCCTACAGCGCTGTCCCAGTCTGTCCAGCGCCTGCAACATCTCTAGATCAGTGATAAAGCCACCTACAGCTGCTGACTACAGGTTCCTTAGCACTGTTGCCCCTTCTTCTTGCTGCTGTTCATCCCTATCTACCACGAATTGGACCAAGAAATGTTGTTCACCACCCCTTTTCCAAGCCACTAACCTGCTATTCCTTCCCCTCCAGTGTAGGAACGGCAATCTGTCTTCATTCCTACAGCCATCAATGGCTGTTCTGCTGCAGTCCGCAGCCCTGTTCAGAGAGAGAGGTGCCTAACCTGCCTTCCTTTCCTCGCAATTTTTCTTCCGTGAGTCATTCCGGTAGAAGGGTGGAACAAAAGTAGCCCAATTAAAATTTGAGAGTAAATGTTTGCTAATAACACCACGTTGAGCACTCAAGTAGAAGTGAAAGGAGAGGATAGATTCATATATAGTTGACTTGAATGATTGGTAGGAACTTTTATTTGGTCCGGTGAACGTACACAACTCTAAGTTCGGCCGCCAGTAGAATCGCGCCAAGCGTTTTCATTATTTACTGCGCGCCACGACAACCGGACCCGAAACGGACCCAAGATTGCTCGGTATGGTCCATTGGTCCTGCTAATATCTTTATGATTCCATCCTTTGTTACATGTATTGCTACAATAGCTATTTAGTCATGAGATATGTGAATTGTCATGTGCCCCTTAGAAAGCTTTCAAAAGTGTTAGCAAATGATAGATATTTCTGTCTTAGTGCAAGCTATGATAACTTTTTAAGATATGAACTAGAGATTATTATTATTTTTTTTTAATGATAGGAAGATTTCTTTTTTTCCTTTTTAGTTAAAGCTGCATTTTGTTGTTCACAATCAACCCTTTTTAGCTATCATCATCTCTTGATCTTGCAGTTTACTTTTCAAGATTTTGAAGTTTACGTTATGTTCTTATATCAACTGAATGAACCCGAGTATCATTTAGAAATACATAAATAGTGCTTTTATGTACATTCTAGCAAGATAAAATTATTCACTCATTTCTCGTTTATAGAAAACATGCAATCCATCATGTTATCCTTCATATTTCACCATCGTCAATATCTTATCCAACCTATAATCTGTTTTTATAATCCTCACTTTTTAATTTATTATAGTTGAATGTTGTAAGAGATGTTAATCCTATTGTTCTCTATGTGCATCAATATTACCTTTGGTCTAATCCCTTCTACTTGACCAATCCAATTCTTCGAGATTATATTTATCTACTATTCTAATTGCTGCATCTTCTATGTTTTTTGCATGTGGTCAAATCACCTAATTTTAATTGTGTTGTCTTCAATTGGTCACATAAAACGGCGGCCTTGCGATGACCCGGTTAGGAGAGTAGATGTATTAGATTTGACTTATGTTAAGAAAGGTAGAGGCAGACCTAAAAAGACTTGGTTAGAAAATATTATGAATGACCTTTCTTTACTAGATTTAAACGAGAATTTGACTTTTAATAGGACACAATGGAGAAAAAGGATTCATGTAGCCGACCCCCCTAGTGAGATAGGCTTGATGTTGTTGTTGTACCTTATTGAAAATTTTTAAATGTAGAGTTGAAGATTAATCATTTTAAATACAATTAACCATATTCCCACGCATTGGAGTCATCACTGTCATCCAGCCTTGTGGAGTATGTATTCTTAATTTTTCACTCTAGAAAATGATTTCAGGTTAATTAAAAAAAATGCTCACAAGCTTTTTTTCCCAACTTATAACCAAGCTAACCTTGATCTAACCCTTTTAACGATCCTGTGTCTTTCACATTCATTCTATATTCCCACTTTTATGCACTTCTTCAGCTAATATGCGTACATGCCCAAACCATCAAAATTTATGTTCTACACCTAGTTTTCAGTAGATGCAACTTCCACGTTCTCTCATCAATGAATTTGAAGATTGAATAGTAAATAAAAGGAAACAAAATAGCTGTAAGAAGGTGGAAAGTTATGGGAAGCGGTAGATGGGAGGGAGGGAGAATAAGATATATGACTAAGGCTGATTTCCATACCGCAAGGGAAATGGTGAACAATCAAGAGATATAAAGAGAACAACATAATAGTGAACACAAAATATGACATTCGTGATGTTGATTAATGCCAGGAGCTATGTGTATACTTTCAAAGTGGTCAACTGATCAATCAAGATATGAATGTCCAGGAGTAAAGGAAATGACCCAAAAATCTTACTCATATCCAATCCACTTGATACGGTACAGTTAAATACAAGTTCCTATTGATAAAGATAGATGAGTGTCAATTCAATTACAGGCTCAACCTAAATTTTGATCTATCCAGGAATTGCTTGACAACTGGTTTGGCGAACTAAAAATCTACCTAAACTACGTAGTTAATGGATCAAATTTGTTGGGTCAGGAATTATCAGCAATTTTTGTAGGTTTCAAGAGGTTGGATTAATTTATTGTGCAATCCATGATTTTGGCATGGCACCTGAAATAGTTATAAACCCAATTTGAACCTCAAATATTCCAATCCAACCTTGCGATCATCAAAGGAAACATTTTCAAAGAAAAATTTGCTTATGAAGCACAATTAGCATTTGATGTAAGGTTATAAGCCTAAATCTCCATAATAAAGATGGTAATATCATTTCAAACCTATTATCATCAGTAGGAATTGACAATCAAACGAGGAAGATCTGTTGGGTTGCATTAAAATGCAATTCAGCACCATTTTTGAGCAACGGACATGATCATAACTAAAAAAGTAAACTATTTTAATTTTTAACTAAATTTGCAGGCACAAACACAAAAATTTTAAACATGAGCAGATGATCAAATCCTTAATCCAGTCAAAACAAGTCTTTAAGCTGCATGTATATTACTTAGAGGCAAACCCAAATAATTAAAACAAGGTCAAAGAAAACATCAGAACTTTATCTATTTTAAAATCGAGTGACACAATTGAAAACTTCCTAGTCATAGAAGAATGTTCCATAGGCAAACACACACCTTGGGCATGAGTGAAGAGTCGATAGGATTTTTGCCTCTTCCAAACCATATAAGCAGAGCCATGGCAACCATAAAGAGAAATGTAAGCACAATCACCTGCAAGAAGAAAATAGTCATACAAAATAAGAAAATAATTGTGTATAATCTAACATCAACATAACAAACAATTTTCATACTCAAGATAATAGCAGTTCATACCAAGATGACGTACTTCTGTCGACTACCCATGCGTATTTTAGCGAATGAGCAACATCTTATTTGAAAATGACCTAAATGAGGATGAGTGTTTGATTTCTCCAATAAAGATTGAGACAAATTTGTATCATCATCTTCTTCCTCATCATCACTAGCCTGATGGCAGAGATCGGTCCTATAAAAAGATTATTCTGAGAAATACATTTTGTTTTATTTAAGAAATAATTCTCTATTGGCAATGATAGGAAATGATATCTTAATTTCACTATCCAAAAATGAAAAGCTTTACAAACAAAAGCAAGATAATCATGATATAATAACATTACACCAACTTTAGACACCATCATATTGCAATAGTTAAAATAATATCAGGTAAGTATGGCTTAAAATTTCTTGTTGCTAGCTTAACGCAGCAATATGACATACAAACATAATACTTATTATTTACCAACAAAAAGAACTTTAGGAAAGAAGATAGAATGACATCACTAAAATTTGTATTATTAAGGCCAACCTCAGTTTACATAGATAAAGCAGCAAAAAGGTTGTTTTACATACGATACCATAACCCTTTTTAATCATTTAAAACCCAGATATAGCTAAATTACTCGCTATGCGAGTGTATGCCCCTGCATCGTACTCGCCCTACTTGTGCCAAAAAAGGATGAGTCATGGCGAATGTGCATCCAAATTCATGTCATGAACAAAATAACCATCAAATACGACTTTCCTATTCCACGTGTGGATGATCTATTCGATCAATTATATAGGGTTGCATATTTCTCAATAGGCCTAAAGAGTGGACATCATCAAATAAGAATGTGATCAATAGGAATAAAAATGGCTTTCAAAACCCATGATGAATTACATGAGGGGTTTGTCATGCCTTTCGAGCTATCAAATGCACCCAACACCTTCATGCGACCAGAGAATCGAAATTTTTTATTGGCTTTTATTTTGACGACATCTTGGTGTCTAGTCGCATGGTGGAAGAACTTCTTCAACACTTCTGACTAGTATTTGAGGTTCCTTGAAGAGCGGCGATTGTTTTCCAATTCCGCCAAATGCAAATATCTAATTACCACAGTTAAATTTTTGGGTTTTGTAGTCTCTTCAACAAGCATAGAAATGGATCCCAACAAAGTTGCAGCATAAAGGATTGGTTGATGCCTCTTTCCTTAACCGAAGCAAGAAGATTTCATGAATTGGCATCTTTCTACTGTTTCTTTATTAAAAAAATTCAGTTCAATTGCTGCACATTTGACTGAGCTTCTCAAGAAGCTTCAATTGACATGGACCAAGGCAGCTCAAGCCAACATCGAAAAATTAAAACTCCTACTGATCTTAGCCTCCATCCTAGCTTACCAGTTTTTCCCAAGTATTTGAAGTTGAGTGTGATGCTTCAAATATAGGCATTGGGGCAGTAATAAGTTAAGGAGGCCATTCGGTAGCTTATTTCAACAAGAAATTGAACAAATCACACCAAAGGTATTCCATTTAGGACAAAGAGTTCTATACCCTTGTTTGGGAATTAAAATATTGGAGTCATTTCTTGCTGGGACATAAATTGTTCTTTTTTCAGATCATGAAGCACTTAAGCAACATCATAATCAAAGAAAATTAAAGGGAAAAAATGTCAAATGAGTGGAGTACTTATCCTCCTCCTATCATACATTACGGTACAAATCTAACACCTCCAATCAAGTGGCGAATCCACTTGGCCATTGTCTCAACCTACACAATACCCTCCAACTAAAGACCGTGGGATTTGAAGCCATTCAAGATTTGCATGCCCATGATCAGGATTTTAAGAAGATATGAAAATGGTGCCAATATCACATATATAAAGTTTTTCACATTAAGCATGTCTACCTCTTCTTAGGTAACCGATTATGCATTCCACAATGTTCCATGCATGCGGTCATAACATATGAGAGTCGTGATGGGGTATTAGTTGCACACTTTGATTGTGATAAAACTTTAGCAATTATTCAGAATTGATCACTTCTTATTAGAGACGTGTAGAGATACATCAAAAAGTGTCATACATCGGGTTATATTTTTCTTTGCCAATACCCGACTCACCTTGGATTGATGTTAGTATGGACTTCCTTGTGGGAATACCACCCACATAACGAAAGAAAGATTCTATGATGATGGCAGTCAACTGCTTTTCAAAGATGGCGCGTTTGTGCCATGTAGAAAGACTCTAGCTGCGCTCATATTACCAATATTTACTTCCATGAGATTGTTCGTCTTCATGGCATTCCTAAAACCATCACTTTTGATAAGTATGTTAAGTTCCTTATTCATTTTTGGAGAACTTTATGTGCCAAAAACATCCGTCACTTTAGCTTCGCCGCTCACCCACAAACTGACGGTTAAACAAAAATATTCAAAAGGAGCATGGGAAATTTCTTTAAGGAGTTTTGTTCACAAAACATCCGCCAGTGGGATCTACTCTTAAGCCTAAATTGAGTCCGCTTACAATCAATCTCGAAACCAAACCACCAACCAAAGTCCTTTTGAGATAATTTACTAACAAAATCCTATTGCTCCACTAGAATTAGCGCCTCCAATTGCTATGATCACAAATAATCCGAACGTTGAAGCTCGCATTAAGAAAATTCATAAATCTCATCAACTAGTGCAAGAGCAAATTCACAAAAAAAAAAAAAAGCGAAGCATAAAAACAAGCCAACAAAAAAAAAACTCACTTTCAAAGAAGGAGATCTAGTTTGGATCAGGATGCGCAAGGAAAGGTTCCCTCCCGTTGCTCTAGTAAACTCAAACCAAAGGTAGATGGATCTTTCAGCATTGTCAAACGTATTAATGATAATGCATATTAATTAAACAACCCGACAATTTTCATGCATCAACTACATGGACTGGTCCAATCCAAACTGCAAGTGCTGGTCCAGCACCTAAGCAAACCTAATCAAAAAGGTTTAGCCTCGTGCGGTTCAGCCACTATCTAGTTCATGTTTCTTTCTGTTCCATAGTTTGTTCCAGTTTATGCATAAATAAGATACCAGGTCTCAATTTCAAAGAGTGAATAATAAAATTAAGAATGTTTTCTCAGAACCCAAGGCTATTTTTCTGTATCCTAGGTTCCATCACCGGGTGGTGAACTTTTACCTTGTTTCTTTGTTCCGACTTCTAGTTAGAAGTTTCGACAGCCAGGAATTTTCCTGTTGTTGATGTTTTAGTTGGTTTCACACATACAAAACTATTCTCATCAATTATCTTTTTATTAAGGAAAATGCAATTTATAGCTTACCGAGCTTGGTTGGTCAGCATCATTAACATTAATTTTATATCAAATAAATGTATATATTGTTCTTCATGTTGATGACTTATAAGAAAGGTACCATTAATAATCTCAATTATGAAAAGAGAATTTCCCATGCTCGATATGTTAGATATTTATGGGATTGCCAACTCAACTATGATTTGCTTATTCTTTAAGTTTCAAGTTCTTTTGTGCTCCTGTTCCAAATCTTAGGAGGGACCAACCTTTTTTTTGCCCATAATATTCTTTCTAGAATCTAGGTTAATTTGAAAAGTATGGCTTTACTCTTACTGATGTCCAAAGGGCTTTATTCTCACATTTTGATTGTCCAATATTTCTTATAATAAAGAAAAGTTCTAACACCCGAGAGAAAATTAGGATCTAGTACAATTTTTTGTGGGAACTTTTGATTTCAATTTGGATATTCTATATGCATATTTTTTAAATTCTCTATTTAAGAATTTGATTAATGTTACTTCAAAAAATGTGATTGTTAAGGATGACATATTATGTGATGGTTGTTTACTTATATATGCCTTCAATAGTTTTTAACTGATACTCTATTGCAATATATTTTGGGTGAAGGTTTGAGGAAATAAGTTTGATTATGCTGCTTTCGGCCAAAAAAAAAAAAACTTCATAATATAGTAATGGGGTTGATCTATCATGTCATAGTTTGATTATATCGTTAGTTATCGAATGTCAGAACCTGGTCACATTGCTCAAGCTAGCACTATGCCCTCTCTGACCATAGAGACAACTTATGTGACACATTGCTTCAATCAAAGGCATGTGTTGTTTATTTCATGAGTTATCAAACAGTACTCTTTCATTCTTAATTTCTATTCATTTTACATTTTGTTATGCTTCCAATTTTGCACTACAAATACCCCTACATTCCATCCAAAGTTAATTTAATATTACATGCTCTAGCCTACAAATTTTGTTTTTTCAAATTAGGAAGCTTATGATTATGAATACTAAAACTGCTAGTGATTCTCAATTTATAATTGAACAATTGATTTGGTCATGAGACGGTGCAATGTGAGAGCAGAGATATGGTTAAATTTTTCTTTGCTAAATAGTTGATGGCTCAAGCTTCTTTGCCTTCTTTCTTTGCTTTCTTAAACTCACTAGCACACAAATCACATATGTTAATTATTAAGTAGTCTTTATTCTCAGCTATCCCCACGTAAAACCCATTTATTCGTGAAATTAACAATTTTTCCAAGGCATTTGAACGGGGTGTTTGCTAGTCATTCCATAAAGTGTGTACTATAATCTATTATTTATTAACTTTATCAACCAGATTAACTCCAAAACCTACCCAACTCTTTGGATGTTAGTGAGAATAAAGCCCTACTTGTTGCATCTATGACAGGAAGGAGTTCGATGAACTAATTGAATTAATAATAATTTGATGATTCCTTGTTGTAGATCTCTTTTTTATTCTTCTTTCTCAAATTGTCCTCTCTTTGAAGAGAGGAATTGAAAGAAAGAAAAAGGGATCGGTTACTATAGCACAACATTGGACCACGTTACTATAATACGACATTATAATAGTTCAACAAAATCGGCACTATGTCAATCAAGAGAAAAAAACAAGAGAAATAGGAGTTGCGATAGATAGGCTATGAGAGGGAGAGGTGGGAATCTCTAAATCCCATAAGAGAGAACAAAGAAAAATGTTGAATAGCAGAAACATAGAAATCTTTTCAAATCTTCTCATCACAATTCAGTTAGAAGTCTGAAATCCTAACAAAACCAGGTTTATAATATAATGTTGAACTAATTAAATATAAATCAAATTCAAAACTATATAGCTCCGAACGATCCAATCATCCTATTTAAAGTAAAGATAATACTAATACCTAAATGAGATAAAAATGAATTAATTCTTTAAATATTCTAAAATCCGTAAAAAAATCTGAATTTTTTTGCTTGTGTTTCATCAACTACAGGTAGATAACTTTACAGAAATTAATTAAAATCCTGACTTGTATCATCTCAATATTCATCACAGCCTTATAATAATCTCATTGTGCACTGTGATTGTACAACAACAAATTTTCCATCCAGATACATCCGGCCAAACAAAAAATTACTTGCAATTGCCAAGTTGTATATAGGTTCAAGAAACATAATCACAACATCAATGATTTTCAACTTAAACAACTACACACTAATATCAGGGAAAACTTCAGCATGCCTCAAATATAAAGATGGGAGTGTTAGACCGGTCCAGGCGGGACCGGTTCACGGGAGAATATCGCGAACAGGCGGAGAAAGCTTCCGCCTGGGCTGAAGCCGCGCGTAACGCACGCCTTGCGGGACGGTTTTTGGAAGATTTTTGAATGGATTTTAGGAGGGAAATTGATTGTAGGGATTGTTTAGGAAATTCCTTTTGAATTGTATGCACTAAATAGTAGATTTTCCTAGGTTTTGAGCATCTTGAATTTGGCTGAAATTTGAGATCTCTTAGATTTAGGTTTTCTTTGGGCTCTAGCGGCGTCTAGAGATTTGGGAGAGATCGATCCTCCTCTCGAATTGAGGATCAATTGTATCTTTGCTGTTTTCTTCTTCTACTAGTGGAATACAAATCTTGCTTTGAGTTTTCTTTCCAATTTCCTCTGAATTTCTGCTGTAAACTGCTGTAAACAGCAGATTTGCTATGTTTTTCTGCTGTGGACAGCTGTCTCCATCGGATCTACTTCAGTTTTGGTGAGAAACACTTGGGAATCCAAGTGTTTCCTATCAGGGAGCTATTATATTAGTTAACCAAAATAATCACCATCGTCATTTTCATCACTAATTTTATCACAACTACCTAGGTTAGCTTTATAAACGCAGATTTCACGTATATTCTTGCTGAGTGCATTAAACCGATAATACAAAAATCTTTTTGAATAATTTTTATACATATTAACGTAAGTCTATCTATTTTCTTTCCAAATCCTTCAACCCAAATTGTACCTACTTATTTTATGATCAAACAAACTAAGTCAATTTCCACTACCTTATATTCAGTAAATGCTCTTCCCGCCATCACTCTAATAAAAACATTCATCAATATATCCTTCCTGATTTATTTTTTTGAATATATACCTTAACATTCTCATTTGCATTACAACAACTTGACTATTAGAAACATTTTACAGCTCAACACTCAATCCATATAACAAAACCATCAAGTAATATCAGAGAAATCCTCCAACTATCCATATTATCAAGACGAAAAGAAAAAGAAAAGGATACCCTAGAGATTAAAAGCCCTTGATTACTTCTTTGATCAACTGTGAATCTCATAACTCATCCTGCTATATGATTTTGTAGCGTGAAAAGCTGATATAAAATATTAATAAATAGGTTATGGTTAAGTAACCATTTCATTTGAAAGGTATCTGTTAGACCGGTCCACTGGACCAGTCTAGCCGGTCCAATATGGACCGGCTTATGAACAACAGAGGCAGAATTCTCCGCCTCCTGCATGCCGATCAAACCGCCAATTCAAAAAGAGCAGTTTTGGAAGGATTTTTTATGAAGTTTGGGAGAGAAATTGAATTTGGGGACTGTTTAGAGATTTCATTTTGAATTGTATGCATTAAATAGTTTGTTTCCCTAGGGTTAGGGCATCTTGAATTTGGCTGAAATTTGAGATCTCAGGTTTAGATTTTTGAGCTCTAGTGACGTCTAAAAATTTGGGAGAGAAAGATCCTCCTCTTGAATAGAGGATCAATTGTATCTTGGTAATTTATGTTTCCCTTTCATCAAATAATACAAATTATCTACTGTTTCGTGGTTTTGTGTTGATTTTTATGGAAAATTCTTACTGTTTTCCAAATATTGATAGTCTCAAGTATTTCCTATCAGTATCCTTTCATACAATCAATTTTACAACGATAAATAGCTATTAACAAAAGAAACAGAAATAAATGAATGATTTTTTTTCTTCAGCATAGGGAAAAGAAAACACAATTCAATAAAAGTTGGCATGTTCAAGAACTATACAATATATCAGAACAAATAAGTGTGTTGCACACAGAAATAGGGATACTTTCTAAAAGTGTAAAGATGGGAAATTATAGATATAAGATTAAGCATTGCAGCATATTATCCAAAGCATAATAATATTTAAAAGTGTAAATGAAGTTGGGGAAAATACCAGAATGATAGAAGCAGAAGAAATGTGGCTAGAAGAAAAATCTGAGGGCAAGCTGTAAGAAATAAGGAATAATCAGGTACTAAATATCATTCCATCTCATTTAAATAAAATTCACCAATGGAAAAATAAAAATGATATACCCATGAGGATAAATCCCCAACCATTTGACCAGAATCTCCATCTTTGACAAGTAGCCACAAGAGAACATATAAAATATATGGCGTACCCTACCACAGAATCATCAGCAGTTAACTTTAACATATGGTGCTCTAAGAACAATAAAATATTTTGCATGAAATCATCATTACTTAAAGTTACGCACATCAAGTGAGCACAAATATGATATCCTATTATATAGATCAGGAGTTATATGTCATTAGGAGCCAAACAAACAAATTACTAACATGGAGGGGAGTATTTTGGAAACAGAGAGATAAGGAATAGAATATTTTAAAATATAATAACAATTTAAATGGATAAGAAGAATAATGATTTATACTCAAGATGCTGAACAGCTATTCTTTTTAAATCGTAGCTCATATGACCTTTGCAATAAGAAAACAAAAGAGCAAATATGAGACAGATAATCAGCAGAAGGTGCTTCAAGTGTTTCAAAATTACCACGTCAATGAAGTATGCCTTGGTGATAAAGAAGAATATTTCACATAGCAAAAAATATATCTCCTAACTTATAAGTTAGAACCCATATTTAAAACCCTGCCTAACCCAAAGTTGAATAGGTCAATTTTACATGTCCTAGTCAAGTTTACAGTTGGCTCTAATTTACAATGGACTCATAGAATCCACATTTCTAAGTGTTGCACAGCCCAGTTATTTATGACTCTGCAGAAGCGATTCATAAAAAAACAAATAGCACTGGCTGGTGATTTGGAGATGCTGTCCTAGTCTAGGTTTTTATGTTAGTCGTGTCACTAAGCCACTGTAGCAACAGCATTATGAATAAATTTATCCTTTTCAATTACAATTTTAAAACCTTCATCTGCTATAAAAAACAAATAAAATTAGTGATACCAAAGGCAATATTATGGTGAAAGGAGAAGGAAGTGAATAACTCCATGCAATTTTTGGGGAAATGCGAATATGCAACCATTAACATGAAACATTTCTTTCTTTCTTTTTTTCAGGTGCGTCACTAGAACTCATACTCTTTGTAAAATTAATTATAGATTACTACTTCGGGATATGACAAAATGTGGTGGCATTTAATGATATTAATTGCCAAAGTACTAATTGTTTAATAATTGGCAAATTGGGCCTAGCAGTTAATCCAGTGAACCCCACGATCTTGTTTGTTGACCAAGTTATTTTCAGTTTGCGCATTAAAACTAACTGGAATATTGGGGAGTAGAAAGGTAAATAAAATTAATATTGCATAAATAGGAATTCTAACTGCAAGCATATCACAATTTGAACTAACATTAACATTTCACAAATTTAAAGCCAAAAAAATAAGAGTGATGTAATTAAAAGGCTTTAGGAAATGCTGCAAAAATTTGTGCTAAACTATGAATGTACCAACAAACGTAGATCAAGTTTATAAAATAGGGAAAAAAAAACAAAAATAAAAGTTGTATGGACAAAATTAGAGAGAAATAGCATGCACCATAAACATTAAAAGATGGTTTCAATATGACCAATTAATAGAGAACTCAAATGAATAGATAAAGAAAAGGACATCGCAGCTCTTAATGGTTAGGATAAATTAGATTGGTACTGTTCTGGGTTATGCCGTGGCAAGGCATCCTATTTTTTAATTTTACTCCAAATTTCTATGTTTTTGGGCCAAAAAGAGCGACTGATTCCTTCTTTGATAAATCAGGAATGAGTTGTTAAATGGATTCTGAAGTTCTTCAATAATGAACATATACTTCAACAGGGCAGCCGATTGAGCTGACCAATCCATTATATAAACTCATTTGGTTCAACCAATTTTGGCTTTAAGTAGGATTTGGATCACGTTAACCCAAATGGGTCCATTTGAGTCAACATGGGTCAATTGGCCAAATTTGGCTAAGCCAATGAGTCAAGTGACCTTATCAATGTGTGGATGACTCATGGGGATCCAATGGAGAGTTGGCTTCCGTTGATTGAGCCAATATGGTCAATTTGGCTTAATCATGATCATTTAATTAGATTTCTCCTCTCTCTTCCTTTTATCTTCATTTCCTTTTCATACTTTCCCGCATAGAAAATGAAGGCAATCCAAACCATTCTTGTGGTCACGGTGAAACCTCAATGAACCCTGGAATTCTTAATGACTCACATGCAAATATCAATCACACAATCTGATGCAAAACAAACCCACGGGTGGTTATTTTTCATGTGATTCTGATGGTGTAAAGAGCTTAGATTGAAGCCTCATGTGTCCTTGATCAATCACTCTTGAATTTCGTCAAGTTCGTAGTCGATAACAGGATAAAATAGCAGCGATTCGACGTGGGCAGCAAGGGGAAACCTCGGGTATCAGCAAGGGCACAGTGTATTTTGCATACTTCTTATCTATTGTATTGTTTGATTTATATTCAATCTTCTTGTATTATGTTGAAGTGTTTTAGAGGAGAATACTAGTAAAAGGTTGTCTCAATGAAAAAGGTGGTGGTCCCAATAAGAAGATATGTGCAAAAGGCCTCACCATCTATTGAAGGAGTAATGAAATGAAATAGTTTAATGCTCGTTATGCAGGAAATCCTATGTGACGGACACCCAGGTGTGGACGCAGGCTATGGCTTAAGCACTTAAAAATCATAATGTGTTTGTATGTCATCTTTATCTCTTGCACTTTAATATATTGCTTGTGTTGATCTTTAATTATCATGGAACAGCATGAAGTTGTGTGACCAAAATGGTTTTTAAAGAGTGGACAAATTTTAAAACTCAATTAACCAATAAGAAATAGCCAATTAGTGGGTCAGCAAACACGGTGGAGATGATGATGTTACTCTCTCATGATAGAAAATATTTAAGAACAGAAAGATATCCTAAAAATGCCTGAAAGTACAATATGCATAAATATATTTTAGACCTTTTGCCTTTATCGGGTTGTTGCAAAATCATGAATTTTGAAACGGGGTAACCATTTACACAAAATGAACCATAATAGCAGCAAGGCCTAGCACAAAGGGGGATTTGCCGTAATTATTATGATGGCTAACCAAAAGAGAAATGTCAAAAACACAGCAACCGCTGCTCTTCCATATATTTCTCATGACAAACAATATAATACATGAAATGCAGTTGATAACAAAATAATTCATCATGTCTCCTTAAATTTCACGCAGATGTATGAAAAATATAAGTACCATGGTGCTATAATAACTAACTTCATTGCAGTTTGCAATCAAGACAATGTTTCAAATGCCTCAAGCAATATAGAATGAACCAAATTGATATAAAACCAACCAAAATGAAACAAGTAAAACTGTTCCTACTAGTCCTCATAACTATTTTATACCTATGAACAGCCAGTTACAGATAATGAGATAAGTGAAACAAAAAAAGATAAAAATAAATTCCACATACATTATGAACATTTTAGAATCAATAAGATACCAAATAGTTCGGTTAGTGATAAAGTGCTATAGCAATATAACTTGAAGAGGAAAGCCGGTTATTCTGAATTTAGATTCTAATTAGTGAGAAACAAAGCAAGGTATAACAGAAATTCATGTTATTACTGCCTTCTATCATTGCAAAAATCAAAGAAGATGAGAAACGGAGTGAATGTGTCTGGCCTATTAAGCAGATTACATGCATGGAACATGACATTTTTCAATTGTAAAGAGTAGGTATCGTACCAACATTGTATGAGCCGATCATGAGATGGAAAACCTGCAATATATTAAATATTTTCCTTAAGATCATGCCATGAGTTGCATAAACATAGCAAAGCAAAAATACTGCCACTAAAATATAACTATTTTGTGTAAGTTTTCATACTTTTTTAGCACATACTATGAAGTAAGAAATTTGGAGCAAGATTTTGAATTTATTCTGTGCATCAATATAATAAAAAAAAGCTTTACAAACTTTGCTTCTACACAATAAATTGAAGAGACATTATCACTTGATAAAACCTCATAAATTTGCACCAAGTGATAGTGCAAATTTTACAACTTTACCATCATTCGAAGAAACCAGGCATTCATATCATGAAGAAGCTTCGGAATAGTGAGGTGCTATTGCTCAAGTAAAAGATGATGCTTTGGCCCTTGAATCAAGATTGTGTAAAGATTTCTCCACTTACTATTACAGTGAAATAGTTTGACTAATGATATCAATTCAAACAATAAAATCTTAGACGAGGATGTCAGCCAATTAGTGTAGAACCACATAAATGTCCATAAATCTAACTTGTTCTATACATTAGTTTCACTCCTTGCACATTCCCTGTGGTGAATCGTATATTAGAAGTTGTGTTTATGTGTAGAGTAGATCCATTTATTTGTGCTCTAAAAGTTTTTGCTCTCACATATAGCATAAATATCTTTATATTGTGTTTAGACACTTATGTGGCTTTGGTGTATTGAATCAAGATCCTAAGCTTGTGTGGTGAAGTAAATTTATACAATTAAGCTTAGTGGTACTACTGCTCACACACTAAAGTTATTTTCATGTGTGTTTGGTTTGATTAATTATTTATTTAATTTTGTGTTTGATTGAGGGTAATAGTGCCCATGCACACCCAATTTACCCAACTATTAAAATAATAATAATAAAAAAATAACCGCTGTACCTTTAAGCTAAAAATTCAATTCCAAACACTATAAGATACCTAAAATGGAGATTAAGGATTTATAAAGCTGACTGAAAATGTTTTTTTTTTTAACTTTAGCCATCGCTAAATAATAGAGATATGGCCATTGACAATGATTATGATGGCACTGCAAAGAACATAACATATATGAATTCACTTCTGAAAAAATTTGAAACTTCTAAAATAGAAAACCCATTGGCATAATGAAACCTATGTTTAGTCAACACAAGAAAAAAGGGAACGATTTATATATCAATGATAGACTTCTACATTTATATTTTCTAATATTTATATAGAAAATAATCAGAAAATTGCATATATCGATATAAGTTTAGATTAAGTGACAAATACTCTGAAATAAGGTATCAACTAGTAGGTCAAATTAGAGAAATTTAAATCCATTTTCACACACCTTTTGGCGGGTCCAACCCAGACTTCTGTTGTGAATCCTCAACAACTGAAAATAAAAAATAAGTATCTTTAGTATACCCATTACAATCCAATAACGCAAGTTACAATGCATTACTGCTTGAGATATATTGTACTAAAAACTATGCTGACATAACGTAATAAATGTATTTCAGGTACAATATGTTCAAAAGAATAAACAAAAAATGCCTAGTCCCAATTTAGGTCAATGCATCTAAAAATAAGGGATCGCTGAATATTTAACTAAACCAGCAACAAACAAAATATAAGCACTCCGGAATGGCTTAGAGAATTATCCAGTTACAATGATTGTGAAAACTAAATACGGGTCAAGAATAAGCGAACAGCAATTAATATCTCCAAGATTGGAGTCACATTCTCATCAAACTTTCCCACCAAGCAAAACCAGCCATAAAAAGAAATATCGTAATTAGGGTTCGTGTTCTATCTCGTAGAATGGTACTTAATCTTACTCCAGTTCTTCGACTAGGGTTATTCTTGAATACATAACCTAACAACAATCTAATATCAGTAGCAATCTACCGGTGGAGCATATTGCTCCAAACAAGTTTTACGTCATAAAATCTGTAGAACAAAATCCATAAGAACTCACACCTGGAAAAAAGCGATAGCAGCAATGACCACGTCAACCACAACGAGGACGGTATCAGACGCGGCAAATGCCGCCGAGGGGCAACGGCCAACGTCGAACCCTCCAAACCGCAGCATCTACGTTCCGAAACCAATAAAGGAGAAAACGGCTGTCTTCACTTTGCTGAACTGACGAAAGGAAGTGAATCGCGGCAATGGTGAAGTGCATGAAAGGTAAAACCGAGCGTGAGTGGAGTCTCGGGCGGGGTGGGCGGGGTATTTCAAGCGCAACTGCAGGGGTAGTGGTCAACGAGAGGAGAGAGAAAGGAGGAGCGGGGATCTGCCGGACGTGCGCACACTTGGCCAATCACTGGGCTTTCAACCCTAGGACGTGGACGCTGAGCCTGTGAATCTGGTTTTGAGCTAGCCAATTAGGGTGAAATCGAGTGGAGTTAGGACTGAGCCTATGATCAAATAATTCCATCTGATTGGTCAAATAGGAGCCCAACTATTTGTTTTCCAAATAACTAAAAAAGTTTCATTTTAACTTCACAAAATTTTAACGAAAATCTCTCACATGTGTGGAATAATAAGTTGTGTATTAGTGATATAAGTTTTGTCTAAGAAAATTCTAATAAGCTTGATACGTTGTCAAAAAATTATCTTGATCGGGCACGAATCTCGATGAAAAATCAAGTTGGAAATTTTCAAAATTAAATTTGGGACCATCTGAACTCCGATTTCAGCAAACTTATAGTCGAACTAAGCGTTTCGAGAATATGAACCAAACGACACCAAACTAAACCCAATCTGAGCCCAAACGGGTCCAAATCAAGGACCTGAAGCGCTATTGGAAGGTTCAAACCACAAATTGGATTATCAAACGGTTTCCAAACATGACGTGCTTATAGTTGAATAGAGCGGATCGACGAGACGAATCCAACGAGCCCATGATCGTCGAATTCCGACATCATTAAGATGTTCAAATGTCCATCAAACTATCCATGATCAAGGGATTCAATATCGGTCGTCTATCCTGTGAGAGCTCGTTCCTCTGATTTTTTTTTTCCTTTATGAATCTGATTTTTCCTCCCAGGATCGTCCGGGACGATATTGAGATCGTCCAGGACGATCAGTGCAGTGAATACAGCTGATTTTCTGGAGTGAATCGTCCAGGCCGATTTTGGATCGTCCTGGGACGATCAGAGCATGACACAAGTCAGAGAGCAAATCGTCCAAGAAATTAATTATCGTCCTGAGATATCGTCCTGGACGATTGGATTTTGTTCACATCATCCTGGACGATGTGGCAATCGGCCGGGCCGATCAGACTTGTTTTATAAGGAAATCAGCTCATTTTTATGAGAGAGAAATCATTTTTAAAAATCAAAATATCTGAGGAGAGAGAAAGAGAAGAAAAGCAAAGGAAAAAGCCGGATTTCGGAGGCCGCGGAGCGCTTTTCGTCCGTCGCCGCTGTTGAGAGATTTGTTTGTCTCGCTGTAAGGAATCCGAATCCTATTTCTATTTTCGAAGATTTTGAGTTTTGATATTTCTGTGCTCAGTTTTGTAATTCTGTTACCGAAAAACGTGTATAATTTTGTATTGACGAAAGTTTTACCGCACAACTTTTGATATGTTTCTGATATAATATTTCTGCACGATTTGAGTATTTTCTGCAAAGTTTCTACCGGTTATTATGAGTTCTGTGCGATTTTTATCAAATAGAAAATTATCTGGTTGTTGAAAAATATTGCTTCAGTACAAGTAAAGCTTTGTAACGTTATTTTATTCGATTTCTGGTAATTTGGTAATTTTTGGGAATTATGCATTTTGAAACGACGTCTGTCTACTATATACGATATTTTAAGAGGTTTTTCTACATTGATCTAAATTGAATTTATTGATTGCAATAAATACCTTATTGATATGCATACGAATATGAATATGATTGAATTATTGTTATTATTACTGAAAGACAAGTGAAGGTTGGTTGAACCGTTGGTTGGAGATTGACTTGACCTGTATAGGATGGTGGGCCGACGGGCTTTCCTTTAAAAAGGGTTTGGCGATATCCTCTATTGATCATTGATATAACGATTGGGAGTCATAAGGAGATTATTATGCTGACGGGCACAGAGTGACGACTCTTATTGAACCAAC